CCTGTGACTAGATTCTACTGCTGTCCCCTTTACATAATTAAAGACATAATTGATTACATAATAAATTCCATTTAAGATCTGACACCACATCAAGTATAGCTATTCATCAATCAAGCATACTTGATTCAACTACCATCTTCTCATGCTGCCTCACAAGCATGATTGACTGACGACATCAGCTGACATTGACAACATCAGCATAACCTCAAAGCAACACAGCAATATCCAAAGAAGCCTTTATAGCAGAAAAATCACAAGAACACATCCTTTGAATAATCCAACAGAATTATTTATTTCTACACAACAGTGCAATATTATTATAATTGTTTACACTCGTTAAACCTTGTTTTAAAATAAATATATTATATTTTTCTGCCTTGTCCGTTATTGATTTCTTTTAAAATTATCCTGCCGAGAGACTAATCCACTGAACTATGGAATTGGCAGTTCGAGCCATAAGCTAACCCTTTAAATCCGAACAACATCACTACAACTTTCGAACAGATTACGATTCCAACAGGCTTCACTGTAAAATTACTACCTTATCTTGTTGATTTCTTTTTAGCAGTGCACGTGTAATTTTAGTAGGCTTCCGATTATGCGGCCATGTGTCGTCGTCACAGTATATACTAAAACAGTGAGCGGTAATTACAGTTAAGTAAGCCACGAGGTAGAATTACAATGAGCCTATGAGCCTTTTAAATACGCGCACGAACAGAAGGCTTGATTGTTCCATGGCGGCTCTGCTGAAAATACCGACCGTTCCATGGCGGTCCTGCTGAGGGCAGATCGAGACCTGTGTGCCATGGCTTCTAGTGGTAGATGGTCAGATCAGTTCACTATGGTCGGTTCACTGCGGTTGAGTCACTGCAAGATGTTAGCCGCAGGCGCAGTTCAGCGAGGGTGGTTCGGCAAGAGATGATTAGCAAGAGAGCGAGGCGCGCCGAGTGCTTGCCTTCTATTTTTTTATTTAATTGGCAACAAAGCATCGTCGTTGTTGCACTGGATTCTTACACAAGATGTAGAAAGAAAAATCTAGAACTTTCGAGAATTCGACGAACTTCCGGGCGATGTTATTACCCGAAAACCGTATAAACATTACGGGTCATTTGAAACCAAAACATAACGAGTAGATAAAAAATTCTCGTCCAAGTGTTTACAAAAATCTGAGATATAAAAGGCCGGCGATGCCGATAATCGGGGGTCTTAAAACTGGCTTCAATCTCGAACAGTAATACATCGCAGAGTGTGAGATAATATTGAAGTTCGTCCGCCAAGATCCAATACTGCTGTCGTTTGTATGCCAGGGTTAGTTGAGTATACCTATTAAAGGATTTGTTACTCATTGGTGCAGCAGAATTGACGTGTGCCTTTAGTCGTATGCCAAAAAATGAATTCATAATTCTTCTTAGACTTGGATAATTCCTTGGAAGAGGGTTCTCGAATGATTGCGAGCGAATTCCGATGATGTAACATTAACTATCCTTGCCTAGTACGTTTTGTTTTTGTCCTTTATAACCCCTTAGGGTTAATCTTTCAATACCTTTATCTGCTGTACTCTTGTCGAATACGTCCACGGAGGTGAATTCGTGGTTTTTCCATCGAAGATTTGCTGATACGATGTAATACGGTAACGTCGCGAGAATTCATTCAAGGTGTTGTTGAAAGAGTGAGTGCATCTTCTTGAGGACTTCATTGTAATCAATTTTATATTGTACAATTAGCAATACAATTTATACTTCGTATTTTCTGACGGCTTGATCGCTTATCACTGGGAGACCAGCCACCATGCAGCGGTTCTGCAGTTGAATCGGGTTTCTGGTTCTAGTGCGGCGTGTTCTCATCTCCAAGAATCATATGTCTGCCATGCGTGATGGAAGGCACAGCCAGGGGAAACCTTTCTCCCTAGTCAGATCTCGTGCCTTGGCTACAGTAGTCAAATTATTGACACTTCCTTGTGGTTGTCGATCCAATGGATTCCTTGTAGGTCCTACTTGTCCTCGTGAACGAACTTGTATCTGCAAATAACCTCAATAACTCTAAAAACTCCAATAATCTTAAGGAGTTATTGTTACATATTGCTTATTAATGTTAAAACTGTAGTAGTTCTTTATAGTTACTATCGAATAAGAATTTTCATATAATTTATTTTGTATTTATTGAATATCTATATTTCATTTTACAATAACAAGGTTTATTATTTGCAATCATTTAAAACATTTTTAAAAAATTGATATAACTAATAGATAATTAATAATCTTAAAGTTAACTTTTCTAATTAATATAATTTTATTTGAACACATACAATAATAATATATTTTATTTCGTATTCAGAACCATTCCTGGTTACTATTTAATATGTGCATTATAAAATGGTTATAATATTCTACACCCGTATGGACGTTCACTTTAAGTGGATGAAATGTTAATTCTGGAAATGGAACAGTAGATTTTTGAATACCTATAATCACACCTGCAAATATAATCGGACATCCGCTTTCACCCTATAAATAAATATTGTACCTATTTATTATAGAAAAATTAAAATGTATTTATCGATTTATTTTATATCTTTCAGTATGAATGTAGAAAATATTTATTATATATAAATGCGCATAGGTATATATATATATATATATATATATATATATATACATTATAATTTTTCTTTGCAAAATAATATCCTTGTGCATGTTTATCAAGCCCATATTTTTCGTTATAATGTGAAGTATTGTAGCCATTACACGCATCCTCATTTGATTTCTGTCTTGATCTTTTAGCACGCAGATAGAAGTATGTATTAACAAGATACACATCTGTATCTCGTACCAGCGGAAAACTGAGTGGAGTTGAAAAAGTAAGCGAATGATGTAGATAATTAAAGAAAGGATAGATTCGTGGGAGTAAAATAAAGTAATGTCTTTATAAATAATTTGTTTCATATCACTGTCATCTAACCTGATCCAGCTTGAAAAGTAATTACATAATTATTCCACTGTATATATTAGAAAGATACTGCTGACATATAATTTTATCCCTTTGAGAGTATATTAAGTTTCTGGAAATCTTATGTTTTATTATTAATTATCTTCCATAAATAATAATTTAACATCTTCGATTGTTATAAATTAGATTTTCTCACGACAGTCGATTTAGTACGTGTAAGGGGGGGGGGAGAAAATCGTATAAAGGAAGTAGTTTATTACATACCGTAATAACATATACGTAAACAATGGTTTATTCTTATTCATTTAATGATTTAACAATTAATTTATATTTATATATACAATATAATATGAATATGTGTTTGAGTATTTATGTTGTGACGTTATTACGATAAGGAGGGTTAGAACGGAAATCTAGATCTTAAGAAATAGAGATTACCTCTCTCTTAAGATTACCTTGCCTATTGATGATACTGTTCTTATATTAGAGAAAACATTCCCTACGTTAAAGTACTGTTTTTGAATTTTTTGAATATTTTATTATTTTGTTTTTATTTCAAATGGTCTTGATATTTATTTATTTATTTTTACATCTTTACTATGTAAATCAACGTTAATTATTTATTAAACGTGAGTTTTATATAATTTTATTTGTTTTCGGTAATTATCGTAGTCGACGTGATAAAATTTTCTTCTCTTAAGTATTTATTCTTCTTTATAGATTATTTAATATTTATATATAATATAATAATTTTATAAAAAATGTTTGTGTAATTATACTCCTTTCTACGAACACTATATATTACAGTATAAATCTGAACAACCAATATAGCTTCTATAAAATGTACGTAAGAGTCTTCCATATGTTACAGTCTTCATTGCTTAATATAACCTACGATTTTTTTAGCAGTAATGCATTATTTTAGATTATGTTGGAGGTTAAATAAAACAACAGCTTATATTATAAATATTATTTCATTCTAGATCGACGTTTACATACATAAATAAGCATAATAATGTATCTTGTTGTTCGATTTTAAAGATTTAGTTTATGGCTCGAATTACCAATTCAATAGTTCAGTGGATTTGTCTCTCGGCAGGATAACTTCAAAGGAAACAATAACAGATAAGGTTGAAAAATATCGTGTATTTAGTAAAACAATGTTTATTAATGTAACTAATTATAACAATATTGCACTTTGATGTAGAGAGAAATAATTCTTTTGAAGTAGTGAGGCTGTATTCTTGTATTCTTGAATTATTGTAGATGCTATGGATATGACTAAATATCTTGAAGTTGAGGTTGTGCTGATGTTGTAAATATCAGCTGCTGTAGTCCGTCAATCATGCTCATGAGTAGCATGAGAAGATGGTGTTTGAATCAAGTATGTTTGATGTATGAATAACTATACTTGATATGGTGTAAGATATTTAATAGAACTTGGTGAGTAATCAATTGTGTCTTTAATTATGTAAAGGGACAGCAGAAGAATCTAGCCACAGGTAAAAACAATTAATGGTAAGATTTCTAATTCGTGAAGGATTTAATAATCTGTATTTATAGTCTATTAGTCGATCTGTGTTGTCCTTCATTGACCAATGTGTGTGAACCACAGTGACTCTTGAATCAGCTTTTCAGGGCCTGTACGATGTCGAGGGTTAGTTCGAGAGAGCGTAAGTGTGCCCTGGTTCTGCTAGCGGGCCTGTACGATGTGGAGGGATCAGTTCGAGAAAGCGTAAATGTGCCCGATCGACTATAGCGCGAGATGTGACTTGTTTATTTATTAATATAAAGGTGTACCTGGTGAACTGCAGGCTCGGTGTATTAGATGCTGTGTAGTTAATGTCCCCCTTGATTACTATTCCATTGGCTTCACTGTACTCAATAATTAAAACTGCCGATTACCTTTTCTATGCACGCGGGTACTCTTAACTATGCTGCCGAAAATATGGCCACGCGGCGTCTTCACAGTATACTATGCACTGACCGGCAGTTACGCTTGATGGAGATCGAAGTGACTTTACGAATGAGCGTAAGTTGCCGAAAATGTGGCCGCGCGGCGTCTTTACAGTATACTTGCACTGACCGGCAGTTACGCTTGATGGAGAGCGAAGTGACTTTACGAATGAGCGTAAGTTGCCGAAAATGTGGCCGCGCGGCGTCTTTACAGTATACTTGCACACAAGACATGATTTTCAGCGAGAGGTACTTTCAGCAAGAGGGGTACTTTCAGCAAGAGGTGTACCTTCAGAGCAAGAGGGGTACTTTCAGCAAGAGATCGAGACGCGCCGCGTGCGTCCCTTATATAGGCACGTGGCGGCTCACTTAGCTGGCAACAAGGCATCGTCGTTGTTGCACTAATTCTTACATGAGGCGTCGAAGGAAAAATCTAGAACCTTCGAGAATGTTCGACGAGAGAAAAGTAGAAGTAATACCCTTGGGTGATCGTATAGTATATTATATTTCGGGTCGTAAACTTGCTCGAACTTGCCGAGTTTTGTTTGTAAACATTCGCTCGAGTGTGCGTCCCGGTCCGCACGTGCGGGTCAGTCTAGGCGCACATGCGGTACGCCGGACAGCGCGTATGACCTTTCTTTTGTTTGAAATTCATGGGCCTACATCAATCCCGAAAACTTGTTTATTATTTATTATTAAAAGTATTGATTTTACTATTGACTTAAATTGATAAAAAAAATTTTAATACAATGCAAAAATTACTTTTTATTATATTATAATTATAATTTATAAACTTTATTGTTTATACTGTGAATATGTTCAATTAATAAATAATTAATAATACCCTAATAATATTTACAAATTTTTAGGTATTTATAAATAATAACTATAAACTTATGAACTCTATACATTTTTGTGTAAAATAATTAATTTCTTATTAAAATAAAATATTTATGATTTATATATAATAAATTGAATAATTATGTTTTTTTTATATTTAGAAAAATATACAACGCACTTTTATCGTAAGATATTTACAACAATTGAAAAATATAGGCGTGTAATAAACTTTGCACACATATTACTTGCTTGTATATAGTAAAATTATATAAATTTTAATTATAAAATAATTTCGTACACATGAAATAAATAGAAAATTGGTATAAATTGCAAAAATGAAAGATCGTTGCTAAGTACTTAAAAGAAATTATTTTGAAATATACTTACAGCCTGCATCACTGCAAATGGTTCCGATATGCTACATAGAAGTCTTTCATGAACAGGTATTCTTCTCCCATTAGCCGATGCAATTCTCACTTCACAATCAGCATTGGATAAAATTCTTAAATTAACAGTTTCCATTATTCTTGTAACTTCACCATTATTCGATATACCCCATCCTGCTGCTACGACATTTAAGCCATATAGATAGATATTTTTTGCAGTTGACAAAGGCAATGGCGTTATGTTATTTGGTACGCATTGAGACAACTAAAAAAGAATTTTATATAAAAAAGAATTTTTCGAAAAACAATTTTCAATGTTAATTAATCGATTATAAAATATTATATAATAATAAATATACATATTACATTACAAATAATTTTTAAGTAATCTGTATGTTGAAGAAATTATTTTTATGTTTATGTTGTTATATATATAATATAAAAATTTGCTTTTATAAATTAAAATTTTATTATTTACCTTTATAATTGCAATATCATTTACACGAAATCGAAGTTGTACATTCTGAAATACAGCCCACTGATTATAATCAACCCACCATAATGGATAAAATATTTGACCGCATCTTAAATCTCTTGATCCAATAACTATTTGAGTTTCATTTTTCAACGTATCTTCTAAACAGTGTGCAGCAGTTAAAACATGAGTATTTGTTAAAAGTGCTCCAGTACAGAAATGTAATTCTTCTACATCTTCAATTCCTTCGCGAATGTCCATGAGAGATACAATGGATGGAAATTCATCTGAATTAGCTTGTCTAACATTGGATCCTATTATAGGACTCGCTATTAAAAATCCATAGAAATTACCTATAAAATCAAATGTTCATCGATACTCCAGTGATTATTTATTATGTAAAAATGTGCATTTTATGAAAAAGAAAACTAACAGATTTTTACTTACTCAATATTACATATTGATTTATAAATGGATATATTTTGAGATTCATACTACATGAATAAACAGTATAAAAATTAATTAGAAACAGTAAATATTAAAGAATTAATGATAATATTAAATTTATATTAATATTTCTTGAATACGAACACTTGATATATTAGATATTTAACATTCCTAATTAAAAAAAAACTTTTATTGGAGCTTAAGTATTTAATGTCTGCATTCTAATTATTTCAAAGTGAATAATCATTAAAATAATTAAGAGCATTTACATGGTAAGTGAGCAGAAAAGTTAATTCCTATTTTTGTTTTATATTTTGTTACAATGAATACATGACACGAATATATCAGTATAAATTAATTTAAGGCTTTTTTAATGAAAAATAATATTATAAGGATAAAATAACTTTTCTGAAATTAAATTTCAGTGGATCATACTAAGTCTATATAAATAAATTTAAGATCCATAGTTATTAAAAAGATTAATATTATAGTATAAATTAGTGCTTTTTAATATTAATCATTAGTGATATTTAATAGTCAAAAATATTTTAAATTAATCCTTTTTTGTTTTATGTAATATTTAAAAAATATTAAATTATTAAAACGTTGCAAAAATATTTGATTAATTTATCAAAGTAAAATGACATTACACAAAGTGATCATGAAAAAATGTTGAAAAAGCAAAGATGATGAAAACTTAAAATCTTAGTTCGAGAATTGCACTTGTAGTACCGATGTTCGCTGTGTAAAAAAAATTTTGAAATATAAAATTATTATAATTATTTATATTAATGTAAAACAAATTATATTTTTTGTAAACACTTTTTCCGAATTATTACAGTGTATAGCATTTCAAAATATTTTCGATTAATTTTTTAAGAAATTGTCTAACTCTACTCATTAATGAGATTAATGATTCACTAAATTTATTATAATTAATGAGAGATTTAGAATTTTAAATTCAAGAATTAGTAACGATAAATATATATAAGCGGACGTATATAAACAGTGAAAAATAATATATTACCACCAAATATCTGCATTATTTCAAAGGTCATATCGAAAATATTATTTTATTTTTCTTATCTATATCACGTTTCTTATATCTATGTAATATAAATGAAATCAATTATTATATTTAATTAAAGAATAAAAATTACATTATGAATTTAATGACTTACGTTTAAACAAATTATGTATAAAATGAAATATATACGTATATATAATAAATGTACATAATTATAATGTTTTGATTTTGATTTAAATAGTATATTATTCTTTATGTTTTATAATTTTTAATTTAATTACAGTTCAAGTACAAGTTTTCTATGTATTTATTATTTTACTCAAAAAGTGACGCGCGATATTATATACGTGGCCTCATATATGAAACACTTTTATTTTAACTTTTTATAAAATAGTTTTACAAAAAAGCAATATAGTATAATGACTAACTTTATTTTATAATATTGTAAGGCACTTGATTTTTTGAATTGTTTCAGAGAGTATTAAGCAATACAATATAATTAATTTTCAATGACTATCGCAATAGTATATTTTTTTGACAATTACGATAACGTGAGATTACATAAGTTGATTATATTTTCTAGTAAATATGAATTATATCCACTGAAATGATTTATAGTTTCTATATATGCATTATATTTTGATTTCAATGGATTTTTAAAGAATGCGAATGATGAGACCTTTTTGTAACTCGCATGTATCATCTAGGAAATAAGCATATAAATATATTTAGATGTAAGATATAAAAGATTTAATACATTAATTATGATTTAATAAGTATTAATTAATTTAGAGCAATATAACAAAAATTATTTACGTTCTACATAGAATTAAATAGCAAATAAGTGAGAAAAATTGAAAATTAAATTATTAAATAAAATATAAAATAAATATTATTGATCATATTTAAAAAAATTTTATACAATGAATAAAAGTACTTTACGCGTGTATAGAAAGACGCTCGTTAAGAGGGACCTATTAATCTTGTACAAATTATTACTATCATTTTCATTATTAATGTTATCATTATACATATTATTATTTGATTTATATCGTGTTTAAAAATATTATAGCAATTTTTTAATATAAAACGTTAGAAATAGCGGAAGCATACTCCACAGTACATTCTCTAAAAAGCGTTTCATATTATAAGAACTGAATCAGAATAACTATTTCTAAAGACATAAATAATTAGTATTATCTCATTATCAATATTAGGATGTTAGCTCTGCGTTATTTCTAGTTAGTAAGAAACACATACTTTTAGAAAGCAGATCCTTTTTGTAGTGAGGTTGGAAACTTTATTTATTTTCATAGTAAAAAAATCTTACTCTAATGCATATATATAATATTTCATTTTGGTACATTTCACACTACAGTTCTATGTTAGATATATTATTACATTAATCCTAGTAAAAATGAAGATTTTTTTATTTGTTCATTTATTTTATCTACAAAATTTATATTGACAGTCTAGATAGAGAACAATTAAAATTCAACATTATCTTAATTAATTTAGAGATGTTCGTACACTGTAACATGAGGAATATTATTAATTTTAAACGTATTTATTTCTTACTACCAATCGCGCTCACTATTTATAATATCTAAAATAAAATCTCTATAATAATCAATAGTGCTGTGGACGTTGATTTTTGAGGAAGGAACAGTAGGTTGATCCGGAAATGGAATGGTCGTCTTATGAATAGCTATAATTTCTTCATTAAAAAAAATCGGACAGCCACTATCACCCTAAAAATTAATATTATTTTTAAATCAATCTATTTTTATGTTGATGTCTTAATAAAAATTGTATAATAAAAATATCTTTGAATAACTTTATCATACAATACGTAATTAATATTTTTATACATTTTCACTAACAATTGAAATTCTTTCTCGATAAAAATAAATTCTTTTCGTATTAATATACTTGTATTTGATTCATAGATATATATTGATAATAAATTTATGTCTTATGTAGTTGAATAAGTAAATATTATTATATTTATTCGTTCTATACCACTTTAAATAATGAATTTAAAATTTTGATAATTACAATTTCAGTTTTGTTCAATTTATTTGAAAACATTTTTTAAATTTGAATGTTATTTATTTTGTATTATCAAATGCACTAATGAGTATTTAATTGAAATAAAGTAAATGATGCAAGCTAAGGAGACTTAGTAATTAATTATATAAATAAATAAAAAAAAAATGTTGTAACTATATTATTAATACGTTTAATTAGTATTTTTACACTTTTATTTATTTAGTCAATATTTAAGAATATCGCAAAATATATTGACATCCAATCTAAAAGAGATGAAAAATTGAAAATTATTACTTACAGAATGCATTAGCACATATGGCTCAGCAATACTACACATAAACTTTTCAGGAAGATTGACTAATATTCCAAGAAGACTTGCAAGTCTAATTGCGCAGTCTTCATTTGATATAACCTGCATTTTGGCTGTATGTAAAATTTGAGGAGTTACTTTGTGAATTGTATTGCCCCATCCTGCTGCCACAATTTCTAATCCGTATGAATTTTCTTTAGGAACTGATGCAAGAGAATGTATTATAATATTATCGGGAACATTCATTCCTAACTAAAAGATTCATTCATAATTACGGATTTATCATATCTATGAATCGTATAGAAAAATAGACCATACGTAAGAAAGTTACATCGTATTATGCAAATATTATTAATAAATATATATCAAAGTTTAAAATTTAATACTATATATTTATTTTATTTATTTATTTTATATATTTTTTTTAACCATATAATTTATAAAATTCTATTGAAAAATAATTTACTTTCATAATAATAACATCATCCATTTGATCACGAAATTGTTTATTTCGGCTAGTAGACCATTGAAAGTAGTCAACTGCCCATATCGGATAGTATCTTGTACCATTTCTAATATTTATTGATCCAACAATCACTGCAGTTTCATTCAGCAGTCTCCTCTTCATACAATGGGCCGCAGTTAAAACATGCTCTCTCGTGATCAGTGATCCAGTACAAATAAAGTCTGATTCTCTTTGTACTCTATCATAATTTCGTATAATTGCTACAAGAGAAGAAAATTCTCCAACAATTGCTTGTTTTACATTTTCTCCAATCAAGGGTACCAAATAAACAAAATAAAAATGACTACCTAAAAATTGTAATTAATATAATTATGGTAAGAAAATATTTTTTATATTCCACAATGTATTAGATTTATCATTTTTATTTACAAAATATTATATATTGACCAAAAAATAATTGTATTTTCAATATCATTTTATAATAAAATAAACATTTATAATTTAAAAAATATATAAGAATACTATATAATTAGATATTATAACAATATGACTATATATATAAAAAAATTATTCGAATACTTTAAAATGATTTATAACAAAATTTACGGCTTTGTTTATCTATTAAAAACCTTATACGTCAATGTACTTCTTCAGTTTAACTTTATTCTTCTGATAATTCGACATGTAGTATATTAAAACTATATGAAAATAAATATTAAAATATATATTAACTCAATTTTTGTTTAATATTAAATGAGTAATAAAATAGTAGTAAATAGATTAAAACCATTGAAAAGAAATTCCGTTTTTTAGAAACGTTTGATTATTAATCGAAAATATCTACGTATATAAAATATTTAAGAATTAGATTTTTATATTTGAAATTATTAATTTATAATTATATTTTGAATTTCAATTTTCAAGGATATAATATAATAATATAATACCACCACAAGAGTAACAATATCAATAATATTCTAATACACATATTATTCAATTATAAATAGCAAATACTTTAAAGTAATTTTAGTAATTGATAAAATACAGAAAAATTAAAAAAAAACATATGAAATTATATAACAAAGAATAGGCAGTAAATAATGAAGTAAGACGTAAAAGAAAACGCGTACTATATTTCTTAAGAGCAAATTTATTTATTGATAATGAGGCAAATACAACTTAAAAATATGCTTAATAATTCAAATTAGAATTGCAAATTAGAAAAACAAAAACCGAACATCATAGCATGCAGTAAGTGAATATACGAATGTTCATGTAATATTTTCTCTTATATTTAGTACATTTTTTTTCGTAAGGAAATTTAAAAGGTATCCAATTTGAACTCAATATTTACTTATGTTTATTTTTTAAATATTAATACGATTCTCGTAAAATTATTTACTTTTAGTTTAAATATTAAACACTTAGAATGGCTATTTTAGTAATAATTAATTCTGGCAGTTGTGATAATTTCTTCGATATTAGATCGATCCATATTATTTTAATTTCGACCAATGTTGATTTCAATGTTTGTTATATCGTAAATATTTTAGTAAATTATCATAAATTTTTTATTTTAGATAATAATAAATAAGTACGAAGATACATTAGCATACTCGTTATAAATTACTTTATTTCATTATAGTTAAATAATATAGTTAAATATTTTAGAATAAAAAATATATTCGTGATAACTGTAGTACGTTACTTTATTATGAAGGAATTTATTCGTGTATTATGAAATGAATACATAAATTTCTTGTTTTTTTTTTGTATCTATTTGTCTATATACGATTAATATTTAAATAGATATAAAATCTACTCATTCCAAGTTTTGAATAAAATTTTATTAAAATTTTCGTGTACACTTTATTTAAATTTAATTTTTTTAATTTGACTATTGTTCAGTATTTTTGTAATTTGTTTAAGATCTACTTTAAATAATATAATTATATGATTGACGTAATATAAAATATGGTTCAAATGTATGCATAAAAAAATTTTCAGGTTTATATATATTAATAAGCAAAGAATTTCATCGCCGTTTTATCAGACGAAATTATGTGGTGAATTCGTGAACACATATATTGTATAATAACGTAATTATAATTTAATCGAATATAATATATCCAGGACATACAATTCTTCCACATATAAATTTAATCAATACATAATGAAATCCATGACGTTTTTAAATACAGATTGTTAAATACAGATGAAAATAAAAATTATATTTAAATAATTAAGTAGTTGAAGAGATTTTAATTGAGCAGATATACACTTGTAATTGTGATATACTGAAATTAATGTTATTTTTATTTTTATTCTCATTATAATATCATTGTACTAATTGTTTTAATAATTGTCAAGGCAAATAAGTTATTCGTAATATATAAGTTAACACATTAAATAAAACTGTACTTTATTGTATTGTATATATTTAGCTTTCCTGCAAATCAAATTTAATTCTGCCTACCTATTTATAATTTCAAAATTGTATTATATAAAATTCTATTATAATTTCAATATTGACTAAGCTATTATGACCTTACGTTAATTCTTGTAGCTGTTGAAAAAATATGCTAATCGCGTTAATTAAGTCTGCCCGTATTTTAACGCATATGATTTTAAATATGATTTTAGGACTAATAAAATTTAATTTGAGTTTTTTCTAATAGCATTTTATGCAAAAATGGATCCATTATACCACACAATCTAGGCTTCTGTAAATATACTTATTAATATTTTATTTATTCATAATTTATAATTTAATTAGTCGCAAATTTGTTAATGCTATTTTCACTATATATGACATACAGTGAATAAATACCATTTGAAAAATGATTAATATTTTATCATATATTAACATATTGTATTGATATGTAGGTTAAGCATTTATAAAGCATATTGATTTTAATTAATCAGCATTATCTTATATTGTAAAAGTAAAAAAACTACCTTTTTTATTAAGATTGTCAATCGATGTTTTTTTTTTATAGGACTTGATGAATGAAATAACCTTGTGGATTGAAGTAAAGTAATTAACCGATATTAAACCATGATGAAAGAAATAGACTTATAAAAATTATTTAGTTTGAAGAAAAATTGTCTGTTTGTCGATAGCTCTTGATAAATAATAAATGATTGAATGCAAGCTATATATAAGAAAGAAATATTTATCTTTATCTTCTTATTTGTACAAAAAAGTATAAATATAGGTGATGAATTTCAAGAAAAACCTTTTGATAATTAATTAATAACTAATAAACTATTTCAGGAATTGATTAACTTAAGTAACTTCTTTGTAATGTGTTTTAATATTTTTATTGGCAAAAAAGCAGATATATTTATTATTATTAAAGGAATTTTATTCTTTTTAAATATAAACTTTTTACATTCTTTTTCTTTTAAACATTAAATTTCCAAACAGTAGAAACATATAGGAATTTAGGAACATTTTATACAAATTCAAGAATCAGACATCATTTTTATTTATTATACTATATTTTTGAAAAATTTTAAATAAAATTCATTTAAAATTAAACGTTGGAAAAAGAAGATGTTAAGATAATCGAGAAATTCAATCATACTACACTTAGTAACTTAAATATTATATGCATAGAGGCAAAGATGTAAGTGATTAACTTACTATATTGTATTTATTTATAATTTTATTACACGATGTCTTAATGTAATTTTCAATCATATAAAACTTATTATTATGTTTATTTTTTTTTCATATTGATAATTACAACTATGAGCGGTTAAATAATTGATTTATGTATGAAATAAGAAAAATAATCCAATTGTCGATTATGTAAACAAATATATTTATAATTATTTATAAATATGAAACTTATATTATATTTATAATAATTTAATAAATATCAAACTTCAAAATTTTTATTGTATATCTTTTGAAAATTTCATAGATATTACCGACTGCCAATAATTGTTACGCTGGTACTATTAATTTAATGAATTCTTAACCTTATACAACTTCTTTTCAAATCAGCATAAAATTTATAATAAATCGAAACATTAAGTAATAGAATTAAATTTAGATTTATTTAAAAAATACATATAATGAATGTATATAAAAAAGCGATATAAATAATTAATCCCAACAATTTATAATGTTTGGTATAACAAATAAATTGTTTTTTAAAAAACTGTATTACTCACAAATACAGCGTTTGAAGAATCAGCTATACATTTCTGCATCAACAAATAACATTTCAGAACAAAATGTTTTAAGTAAACATAGTTTAATTAATAATAAATCAGAACTTTACAAATATTTATATTTTAAAATAAAATTGTCAGGACCTATTAGTGTAGCTAATTATATGAAACAAGTACTTACTCATCCAACAAATGGTTATTATATGAATAAAGATGTTTTTGGAGAAAAGGGTGATTATATAACATCTCCAGAAATAAGTCAGTTATTTGGAGAAATGATTAGTGTCTGGATTATAAATGAGTATAAGAAAATACATAATAAGCCATTCCAATTAGTTGAGCTTGGACCAGGACGTGGTACTTTAATAAAAGATATTCTCAGAATTTTTCATCAATTTGGCATGTGCGATCAATTGTCTCTGCACTTAATTGAAGTTAGTCCATTTTTATCAGAAATACAAGAAAAGAATTTATGTTTATCTAATGTTCAAAAAAATGATCCAAGTTCTTTAGGAAAGCATTATAAAACAGGAGTAACGGCAGATAATGTAAAAGTATTTTGGTACAAGTCAATTTTTGATATTCCAAAAGGGTTTAGTATTTTTATCGCTCATGAATTTTTTGATGTATTACCAATACAAAAATTTCAGAAAACAAAAGATGGATGGTTCGAAATATTAGTTGATATCGACGAAACCGATAAAAATAATGAGAAATTTAGATTTATTTTATCGAAAACATTGTCTTGTGATAGAATAAGAACCAAAAATGAACAAAGAGACCATATAGAATTTAGTCTGGAAGCTATGCTTATTATACAAAATATTTCTTCTGTTATAACAGAAAATGGGGGGTTTGCACTTATCATTGATTATGGTCATAACGGCGATAAAACCGATACTTTTCGAGCTTTTCGACAACATCAACAATGTGATCCGTTATTGAAACCAGGCACAGCAGATTTAACTGCTGATGTTGATTTTGCATTTCTAAAACAAGCAGCATTAGAAAGCAATAAAGTATTGTGTTTTGGGCCTGTAAACCAAAATGATTTTTTAAAAGAATTATGTATTGATATTCGATTATTAAATCTTTTTAAAAATTCTTCTATAGAGCAAAAAAAGCAATTAGAGCTTGGTTACAATAAAATTATGGATCCTAAAGGGATGGGTACTTGCTTTAAAGTTGTTTCAATGTTTCCGTATGTTTTGAAAGATTATTTTGAAAAATTTCCAGTCCATGGATTTCAAAGTTATGTAACTAAGAAATAAGCTACAAATTTGTACAAATTTTATCATTGTATTAAATATAATAAAAGAATCATATTAATATATAACATAAATTTTATAACAATTATTATGAAGAGGTAGAAAAAAAAATCTATTTGAATTTACAATTTTATTTCTTTTATAATAATATTTTGGAATATAAGTTATGCATTATCATGTATTATAAAAATTTGTTTTAAGTTAGCCGCATTTTCTAAAATCTTCCTTATCGATTGGCGATATTCAATAAAATTCATTAATTTCATTAAAATATTTAAATGTTTGAATTAAATTAAATTTTTTTATATAAAATTTTTTAATACCTTTTAAACAATTACTTTCCTACTTTAAATTAGTTAAAAAATAAGGGCAATGTTGTTTGATCGATTAAGAAATTTGTAGGGTTACACCAGTTGCGCTTGCGTAGGAAGCGTGTTCGATCTAATCTGACATACTTCGGTCCTTTATGTAGTTGACTTTCGTATGCCAGCGGTAGTAATTCATCGGTGTACAAAGAAGGCGGCATTATCCACGATGGTTTTTTCGTCTTTATAAACACGCGTTAATACGCGAAACGTTTAGTTTTTTTTTTTGTTTTAAAAAATTTTGAAATAATGAGTATGATAGGTATTATCGTTTCCGGTCGTTTGGTAAGTTCGTTATTTTCATACAATTTGTTTAACGTTATCATTGAATTTTTATGGGACTTCAAATGACCGGTTACTGTTATATGTTTGTTGAAATCTAGAATATTCTACAATTATCAAAATTCATATAAGTCTAAAGCATTACTTGAATTTAGCTTCAATTGAATAATACTTTATATTATAACATTATTCTGTATGATATGATAAATCTTTCTAAAATTAAAATTAAAATTCTTATGATATTAAAAGTAAGCTAAATTCCCACTAATTATTTACACCGAAAAAAAAATTTATAATTTTAGGTTCAAACAGATTTTCAACAAATTGAAGAAAATCAATTTTTAATCACAGTTCCCGATGCTGATAATATCAATCATGTTGTTGTCTTTCTTACTGGAACAGTTCCGTTTATAGATGGAATGGGTGGTGCTGGTATATATTACTATTTTTACATTTGTTGTATTTGATGATAAAATATTAAAAATATAATTTTTTAATAGTACCTTAATTTAGTATATTTTAGTTGGCCTGATTCGAATGCCCCACCAAACTGGCAATTTTTGGGATATATTTCAAATAATAAGCCCTCTGCTATATTTAAAATTTCAAACTTGAAAAGGAATCATGAGTTTGAAAATAGTAATTTAGAAATATTTGGAATAGGTAAAATTTCTCATGTTGCTCAAGTAGGTATTTCTGTTGAACCACTTAGTATTTTGGAGCAGCAAGCAGCTGTAACAACAGCAAATGCAACAAATTCTTTTATAGAATTTGCACAAAAAATGATTACAAGCTTTCTGAATTATGTATCTAGTTTCTCTGTAACTCAAGCACAAATGACAGCAAATCCTACAGAAAATTTTGTACCTCTATCAACCATACAAGGATGGTACGAAACCTTCGAAAGACGGCTACAACAGAATCCAAATTTTTGGAAAGCATGATCGAAACATGAAGATATCTGGTATCTAGTACATTCGTACTCTCTACTTTGTTTAAGTAACAAAAGTACTTGATCTGTACTAAAGTAAAACAAAAAGTGTATATTATTACATTTTGTTTATTATTTAATCAATTAAATTTTAATGCTTTAAAATTTTTTTATATTCTTAAAACATTTTAATTGTAAATTTGAGAATATAATGATTGTACATTCAAAATAATTAAAAAGTGCAAAAATATAAATTTAAATTTATAATATGGGAAATAGTATAATGTGAATAACAGTGTTGCTAGCATTTCTCATTATTTTAATCAACTTATTGGTTATCATATGACTGGCATTAAACTTTTATCTCTAAATAATTTCTAAACTCTTTAAATTATTTAATTATATTTCAATTATTTAACAGTAAAATATAAATTTTTTATATAATATTTGGTATTATTTTCGCAGTATCTAATTAAGTTTATAAATTGATTAATAAAGATAAACTTTGTATTTGATAAAAATTTTTGTATAAAATTATTATAAATAGAAATTTTTGTTTTATTTATCAATCTTTAATTTTGTATTTACTTTATTATAACAAATAGGAATGCAGATTTCACTAAATTAAAAAAAGTTTATGGCAAATTTTCTTAAAATTAATTGTTTTAACAAAGCAAAATTTAACTGGTATTTAAAATAATCAACTGCTTCTATCTGTAACTGATGAAACTTTGTAAATATTTGTATTTTAGCAAATAATTTACCCAATTCCAATACAGGTATAAGGTTTGCATAAATATTATACTTTTACATAGATTTGATAAAATATTGAATTTAAAGGCACTTGACTTTAAGATGATTTTCTGTAATAGTGGCACATTTCATAAAGTTGTTTAAAATTTCATGACAATTAAAAATTAATATCTTGGATGGATTCAATAATTTTTTTTTAGTTTTTATTTTTAACGTTATTACCATATCTGTAATTAATAATGTACGAGCTATTTTTGTTAACTGGTTTCGATTTATTGTTTAAAATTTATATATATTTAATTATTATATTTAAAATTTAGATAATTTGAAGACAATTGAAATTGTATGAAATGTGTATTAATATTTAATATAAAATAATCAATGTGAATATGCAAACTTTATGTGAATTATTTGAGTGATTTTAATCATATATATATGTGGGTAAATAAAAATAATGAATATAATAATACAAAATATAATTTAAAAACATATCTATTATGTTTTTAATTAAAAAATAATTCGAATATTTCTGAAATTTTATTTATCGCGAGTCAATATTTCCCGAAGAAAGTTGAAATTAATTTATATTACATGAGCAAACATTCCAAAATTGCATGTATATATATATATATAATTACAGCAATAATAATACTTTAAAGCAGATCGATTAGTTCAATTTTTTAATATTGGTTATAAACAAATTAAGAAACACACTTAAAATATGTGTACTAATATATGTCAACTGTGTCATTAATATTAAAAATAAATTTTTTATAGCAATTTTCATCATTGTTTCATCAATAATTACATATACAAACAGTATATACAATTAATATGGAATAGTTATTTTGAAGAGTTTGGGGACTAGAAAGATTTTTTTATCAAATTTATATTTTAATAGATATGAAGATACAAAAAATAAGTTAAATTGTTCATGTATGAAAACAACAAATAACTACTTATGCAAAAATGATTCAAATTATCAGATAAAATAAAAAAAAAGTATATGCATTTATTTAATATCAACAAAATTTATTTAATTTTATGATATTGATGACACCCTTTAAATTTATAACGAGAAATGGTACGATAAAGTTATCTGTTTTAATTAAGGATTTAATATTGAAATTTCATGATTTTTATCCCGAAATAATAAAATAAAACATCGTATTTTTAATTAATATAATAAAAGAGGTTGTAAATGAATGTGTATGTAAATGTAAATGAAATCCTAATGGTTTAAATCTACTTATTCGTACAGTAAATAAAATGATTATACAATTTATAGTTCGAAGAGTTGATATTTATATTTATGCAATGACGAAAGCATAGAAAAGCATTATTAAAAATTTGGGGATGTTAATTTTAAATATTAAATGCAATGGCTAAAAATCATTGACGTTAGTCAATATAGCTCGAAGAATATAATACAAATTGTTATGATTAACGTTTCATTAAAGATATTAATGTTCTTATTAATTTTATTTTAATTTATATAAATATGGTATAAATACATTATTCTAAAAAAAATGTACTATTTGTATGTACTAAGTAGAATCGTTTGCCGAAATTTGCCTCTTTTATGCATTTAGTTTACATAGGTATCAGGGCATATCTAACATAAATAAATTATACGCGGTAATATTCATTTTATGCAGTTTGATATAATTTCTTAATAAAGAGTATCGAGTTACATTAGCTTATAGTTAAAAGTAAAAGTCTAAAACAGCAAATTATGCGACTCTCATTGAGCTGATAAACCTATTAATTATTTCGACGAGAAAGATTAATTTGACTGTGTATTTTGTACTTTCAATTTTACCGCTTGAATTGGGCAGCGCGCGAAAGAGCAGAACGAGAATCAACACGACATAGATTGTGACTCGTGACAGAAAGAGCAAGGCTTACGCCACTGTGTTATTGCTGACGAGGCATTAGGTTTTACGATTACGTGATCACATTGGTGTGTATGCATTTGCATGCATATCGAGGCAACTTCGTAGCCTCGACAGTTCACTGATTCCAAATTCCAATAATCCTCATGCGTTGTATTTTCTGTTGCGCCGTCTGATTGACGGAGCAGCGTCTACAATAATCAATTCGATATTCAGAAGTCTATTTATTAACTATTTTGTGACCGACATAAAGCCTAGTTAGCTCAAATTTAAAGAGCGAAGGGACATATTTCAGTGCCTGTGCAAACACAACGTAAAGACGAAAACGAACAGTAGCGGAAGGGGAACTCGCGAGCGCTTTTGTGTGCATCGCATGCGACTGTTTAGTGACAGTTGGCGCGCTGCTCAAGGCCATTGTAGGTACTTAAAACTGTGTATTCTTTTGCAGTTGTTACGGTTTCCAGTTGCTGAGAAAGCGGAGGAAAAAAATTTACTACGAAGAGGTATTTTTGTGTGGGTGCGAGCGAGGGCGGGGAGTATTGAGTGCGACGACATATGTCGCGCCAGCCGTCTTTACTCCTCGGCACTCGTCGCCTTCGCCGTTGTTCTTGTTGCTAAATGCACTCCAGGTGGTGGCTATTATTTGCGTGGGAGTGAAAGTGTAGTGAAAAAGAAGAGAGTGCTTAGTAAAGGGCCCCTAGAGTCGTGATAACACTGGAGCAAATATCAGCCAAGTCATTGCAAAGTAATATCACGAGGACCGTAATCGTACCAAGTGACAACCGACTACAAACTATTGAAAATTACAGAAGTTCAGCTTCAACGGCAAGCAGCAGCGCCTTTATGGATTTCGTTTGATATACGATACCACGAGACACACGTATGCACCTACACTTGTTCGTATGACGTTTGGGCATGTGCGCGCCCCCGTGTGCACTTGCATGTATGTCGTATATAGTTTCATAGTTGACAGTGAAGCAGAGGACGTAGTAAATAGCCGAGGAAGCGAATGCTTCTTCCTCGGCCTCAAGCCGATAAAGACGACAGGTAGGTGAACAGTGTCTGGATTTATACTTCACTGATTTTTTTACTCGAGTACAACATGATTTTTACATAGTTATTTATTGTTGCTTTCTCTCTCTCTCTCTCTCTCTCTCTCTCTCTCTTTCTCTCTCTTCCTCCTTCCTTCCACCCTTTCTTGTCCTAATCTAATTTTTTTAGTCGTTCTCTCTCGCTTGTATATCTTCTATCTTTTTTGTCGATATACACAGGCGCACGTAAGCGGAAAGAAACAACGACGTTTAACCGAAGAGAATTATTGGATCCAAAAAACATTAACCTCTTATTACCGTTTTGTATTTCTAATAAGGATTTTGTTATTATTAGGATCTCGAATCTCAATTGGATTGTGCAATAATAACTCTTTGAAGGATTACAAATATTTGATGACACGCGGCATACTCCCTAAAATACGTTGACTCGTCATTAGCGCCAATATCTTCTACGAATTTTGCGAAATGTATCGACGTGAGAATTAAAAGTTCATGCGCATTACTCGCTATTATTGCCTAAATGTACGAAAAAATTAATCATTCAATATTAAATCTCAGTAGTCATTCTCATGGCGACACAATATACACAATATGCACGCTAAATGAATGTCGTATATGACGTAGGAAAACTTCATATTCGGTAGGACGTAACTGTGGAAATGGCTGGACTTGTAACGCAAGATATATTTAATATGGACGAAGGATCTTCAGAAATATAAAATTTTTTAAAGCGAAAGCACTGGTTTTTGCTAATATTGACTTTTAGATTTTTTGTTTGGCAAGAAAAAAATTTTAATTTTTAAGAAATAATTAGTATTTTTCTCGTATGCTTAATGCAGTATCTGCTCCATTTTGAATTGTAATTCTCGCAAACTGATTTCTTACCGGGACAATAAGTAATTTAAGGAGTGCTAAAAATTCATTAAGTGTCACAGTTCATTTTAATGTATAAAACTAAAACTATTATTTACCTCATCTGCATAAAACTATGCAAACATAACTTTTTTCGTTTTTGTTTTGATCTTTTATTAAATCGAAAAATCATTGTAATGAGTTTGTTTGCAATATCTGCTTAAAAATAATTATAATTGTAAATAATTTTATTGTTAGCAAAGAATTATTGCAAACATGCAATCCATAATTCTTGTAACGAGCGCGCGCGCGCGAACACACAGGCGCACACACACACGCACACGCGCGCGCGCGCGCGTGAACACACATATGCAGGCCTGTAATTTTATTTCGACCCTGTTTTAAGGTTATTTATGATTTATCGTATAAAAACATACGTTATATCATTGATTTTAGATCTTGGAATAACTCTTATGCATTAGATATGAATGATTTAATTCAATTTAGTTTGCGTGGAGGAATTTCTTAATGCAGTTTTGTAAGTTCGCGGCTAAAAATAAGCTGTGATATTTAAAAAATCTGTGGAAATGTTCACTATATCGTGATGTAATGAAAATGATTCTGCATTTTTATACCTAAGGTACATAGTGCAGAATACATACAAGCATTAAAGTATAATTGAACCGCCAATTTCTTTTTACCACTCTTCAAAGTTCTAAAGTGACTAATATTTTTAATTGCTTAATTTTCAATGCGTAGTATATTCTAGTTCATAAAAAGGCAAAATAAAATAAGAGCATACCTGTTAGAGTAAATATAAATCTGAAAAACTGTTTAGTAGAGTTAAAAAGATAGTATCCGAAAAAGTTAATTCCAAAAATAACATTAGCTGTCATACCGAGTTAAAAAGCAGAATTATGCGTCACGACGGTCTGCCTTCCTACGGCGATATATTTCTTTAAAGAATATTTCTTATGATTCGCGATTCATGTCCGTCCCTCTTTCGCGATAACACGCGCGCATTTTCTTTGCATCGCTACGTACTGATAGAAAATCATCTCACTTTTTTCGATAGAATTCTACGTTGCAACTTTATAGGAAATTGCACGCGGATGTGTCATCATCATCTAAAAATGATTTTCCATACCTAATTTGATGTACACATGGTTGTTATTGGAATTTTTACATAGTCTGTTGCTCCAGTACCATTAATGAGCTTCTTAAACAATTGCATAATCGCACGCAAACTGTTGTTGAGGTTTTTATCGCATGTCGCATTAAATTTGTTGTCCACTAACTTTATCAGATTCACACTATTATAGTCTATTACTACTTTGGTGCTCATTTTATCATTTCTCTTTTACGCTATAAAGAATTTTAATATTTATCCACTTCTAAAGGAATATATAGATATTGTATAACTGAGCTGCTGTACATATAGCGCATAAATTTCAATTTGCTTAGTATTTTTTTTATTTACCTCTCTTTTTAAAGTTAACGACAAACTTTAAGAAAATTTGAGATCGAGCTTTTATTCATTTAAACATATCTTATATAATTACATATTAACCAGAATGTGGTTGTTGAATTACATACTAATTAAAAATAATTAACTGACAATAATGTTAATTTATAAAATATATGTTAGTAATATTAAAGTATTTATTTTTCCCTAATTTATACAATGTTACTGCTGTCTAAAATAATTTGTATTTTAACAATAATGTGAGTAAAAGTTGATATATTTTTTATTATTGTCTTTGATATTATATTTTCATATTTAAGTAATTAATAAATCAATAAAAATATATTATTTTTGTTTGCTGTTTATTTTATGGTCTTTTATCTTATATTTTTATATTTAAGTATTGATTAAATCAACAAACATATCTTATTCTTTAGGATCTGAATCTTTGTGAGTTTTTCTAGATCCTCAGAGTTTAGAATTATAATCACATTGGTACTTTTAAAAGGTGAGTATAACATCTTTCTACTTAAGTACTTTTTCTATATCAATGTTACATTTTTTTTATAAACTTTATATGGCAAAATAAAATATACATACGAAGTTTTATGCATTAAGTATATTTTGTTGTGTAGCGCAAAAGAGATACATAAGATTCTCTCTATATATATTGTTTTTATTAATATTCTTATTATAATATTTAATTAATAAAAGATTAACTGTGATCAGATTTTTATCTGACTGAAATAATTAAAGTAGCTGTAATGGATTAAAGAATTTTGCATTGAAATTGTATAGTAAGATTTATTTATTTCTAATTATTTTATTTATATTTAAAAGTGACAACTAAAAGCCTGTCCAAGTTACTAAGTTAGTGATAAAAAAAATTATGCATATAAAAGTCATTGTGAAATAGTCTTTATTAATAATAAATATAAAATTTGTATTAAAAACATTCAAATAATTATCATCTTTACTAAATATTCTAAATCTTTATTAATCAGATTGCATTTTATTTTATTAAATAGATTGAAATGGAAAGTTCTGAGGAACCTACAAGTCTGCAATCAATTTGCCATCTACGTGCATCCGAACTATTCCCTAAGCCTGCATATTTTGATTTTGAGGATTCAGAACTTGTAGTACCCTTTGTACTTTTAAGTGGAGAATATATTGTTGCTTTGGGGCGCACATCTGATGGTGTATTGGCATTATCGAACTATAGGTTATATTTACAGCTTGGTCAAGGATGCTATAATGTACCTTTAGGATTAATAGAGCATCTAGAAGTTAAAGAAATCTTTTACTTGCATATTGGCTGTAAAGATGCTCGTTCAATAAGGTATACATACATTTTATTTTAATATTCTTATTAATTAAAATTTTTTAATTAATTACACAATATTCATATAAACATTTAAAATAAAAAATTTACATGAAAAATTAAAAAAAAAATTATTTTTTTAAATCTTTTTTTTTCTTTATAGCTTCAATAAAAGTATTTATAATTATATTTATATTTGTTTAATACATTAAAGTTTATTTATCTTTATTCATAATGAGGAAAAATAACAGTAGTAGTGGTACCTAACAAATAATATATTATTTCAAAATTTTTGAAAACCATTCTAAAACGCTAAATAAATATTAAAAATTAATAATAATATTTAATTCAATTAAATTTTTATTCTAAGTGCAAATTTAACATTACAAATTATTTGACTATAAATTATCTATATAATTTTCGTCTATAATCAATTAATTAAAAATGGTAACAAATATCTTTGTTATTTAAGCTTTTTAATTGACTGAAAATTTATGAATTCGTTGAAAGTATGTGAATTGAAGTTCAGTTTTACATTTAAAACAAAATTTACATTTTATAAGTAATATCAACTAGAATTGAAGAAAATCATATAACCAATAATAATACTTGTTCTTATAAAGGAAAAATTGAAAAATTAATTAATAATAATAAAATTTACGTCTTTATAATTTGATTTCAGTTGTGCTTTTTCTACCAACGAGCATTGTTTAGAATGGTTCAAGCGACTGCACAAAGTTACTTTTCCGAGAAGAAGTATAGAAGACATGTTTACTTTTGCATATTATGCTTGGTCAATGGAAGAAGGAAAAGATTATCCAAGACTAGGAAAAGATAATAATTCTTATCTTACAACTTTCAATTCGGAAGTACGAAACTTACCTTATAGCTGTAGAAGATGAAAGAATTTAATATTAAAATTGTCTTTTAATATATTAATGTTAAAGAATTATTTGATTGAAATCTTAATACATTCATTTATTATTCATAACATTTTATAATAAAATATTTAATACGTTTAACAATAATCTAAACATTTTTATAAACATACTTATAATAAATTTCTGTTTTATCGGAAAAATATTATAAAACTCTATGTTTATGACTAAATTTTAATTTATTTTCTATTATTTTACAAATTTTATTTTGTATACTTTAGGTAGAACGGCTGAAGTTCAATTTACATGGAACTTGGCGTATTAGTCAAATAAACAAAGATTACCAAATGTGCCCATCTTATCCCCCACATCTTCTTGTTCCTGCCTGCATTACAGACAAGATACTCGATGATGTTGCTAAATTTAGGAGTTCTAGAAGAATTCCTGCAGTGGTTTGGAGGTATAATTTTTATTTTACCTGTTTGAAGTTTTTTCATTTTTTAATGAGTTTTGTATAAAAGATATTACAAATAATATTCCGTTATCTTATATATAAGATTGAATAATGAATTACCAACATTAATATTTACTTAATTATATATATTTTAATCATATAGACATGTTAATAATGGAGCTGTGATAGCTCGCAGTAGTCAACCTGAAGTTGGCTGGTTAGGATGGAGGAGTTCCGAAGATGAAGATCTTTTAAAAGCTTTATCGGATGCATGTTCCTATGATAGAGGTGAATCTACAATTATTGACTCACCAGTCAATTATTCTGATCCAGGAGACGAACCTATTCCAGCGGTGACTACAAAAGTAATTCTATTCATAAATTATATTCAATCATTACTATAATTTAAAATTAACTCAATAAAATATATTATCGATGTATAGTGGTCTTTTTAAAGTCTATGTAATTATGTATTTAAATTACTCATTTATTCAATACGAGTATTAAAAAACAGTATTATCAGTATTCTATATTTTACTAATAGTTTTAGTTATAGTTTCAGTTACAAATTTTTACGATTTCGTTAAGATTTTTCTTATATATTTTAGTCCATCATTATATATGCATATTAATTTAGTGTATATTTTATAGCAATATTTAATATATTATTTAGTACAAATTTTAATTTTAAATATTAAATTGGACTAATTTTCGAATATAAAATTGTATTCTTTTCAAATTAATTTAAAAATAAATCAATATTTATAGTCATGTATTATTAAAATATATTCTTTAAATATATTATTATATAAAAGGTTCTTATTAAAAATGAATAACTTTATTTTATAATTATTTCTTAACATTAATTTTTTTTCAATTACGTAAACATTTTTTTTATTTAACAAATTTATATTTATTTTATTTTATATTTTAACGCATTATTTGGATTTACTTAAAAAAATTTTTAGTTTTCAAATTTTTATAATTTTGCTTTAGCATGAGTTTCTTTAAGTTGTTTAATTTAAAACTAATTTTATATAAGATAACGATATTTTATATAATTTACAGAAAGTCCTCATTGTTGACGCAAGATCTTATACGACAGCAGTAGCCAATCGAGCGCGTGGAGGTGGATGTGAATGTCCAGAATATTACCCAAGCTGTGACATTCAGTTCATGAATCTTCCAAATATTCATTCGATAAGAAAGAGTTTTCATGCAGTGCGTCAACTGTGTGCCTCTGACGCAGATCAGAACAAGTAAATATGAGATTTTGAACCTTGATAATTTTCCGCTTTTTACTACTTTGGTGAATTACATATCAAACATTAACTAGGCAAATTACAAATAAATAACGAAGATCCAGTTTAATGTTATTTTAAATTAGAATAAACAAACTCCATACTTAATTTGAAAACACCAATATTCAATAGTTATTATTTCACCAGTATTAAAAATTAAAAAATATTTACAAAAATATACATGAATCTTAAGGAAAAGAAAAAAGAAAAAAAATACAAATAAAAATGGTTATTTTAATGCAATGTTGTAGTTGGTTAAGTTTGCTAGAAGGAACAAGGTGGTTGCAGCATATGTCAGGATTACTCAGAGCAGCTGTCACGGTAGCTTCAGCAATAGAAAGAGATGGAAGGCCAGTATTAGTGCACTGTAGTGATGGTTGGGACAGAACACCTCAAATCGTCGCACTCGCTCAGATTCTACTCGATCCCTATTATCGAACAATGGAGGTCTGATTTACTGTTAATTTAAATTCTTATTCTTTTGGCATCTTAATAATTCCTTATTTACATTTATATTACGTTTATTTAATTTTAGTTCTTAAAGGATAATAAATGTGAATTCATAATTTTCCTCTTTTAAAATACTGATTAAAAATGTATTAGTTAAACTATTTTCAATTATAATTAATAATATAAAGTACTATTTGGTATAGTAAAAATTTTAATTTGTTTTTATGTAGGGTTTTCAAATTCTGTGCGAAAGAGAATGGCTTGATTTTGGTCACAAATTTGCAGATAGATGTGGTCAAACTGTAGGATGTGAAGATCCTAATGAAAGATGTCCTGTATTTTTGCAGTGGCTAGATTGTGTACATCAATTGATTAAGCAATTTAAGTGTAGCTTCCAAATGTCACCTGCATATCTTGTATGTAATTACATAGGAATTAGTTTTATTGTTTAAGCCTAGATAAAGATCATTAATAATTATTCAAAATGAATGCTATTGATATAATTTTATTTACAGGTAAAATTAGCTCAACACACATATTCTCAATTATTTGGTACATTTTTGTGCAATACTAGACAAGAAAGGTTACAATTAAGGATACGAGAACGTACTTTTTCAACTTGGCGTTTCTTAAATTCTACATCTTTTATTAATCATTTGTATTCTCCATCTAAAAATCAGGTAAGTAGATATTTTTTTGTTTAAAAATTAAATAAATAAATCTTTTCACGTTGATTTCAATAGGTATTATGGCCTAGTTGCAATGTACGAGATCTCAAACTGTGGTCTGCAGTATATTTAGGAACTGTCAAGACTCCTTTAGGTCTCAGTGATATTAAACCACGAGTACCAATGATAGACATCGAAGCTAGTGAAAATGAAGAACCACTTGGACAAATGATAAAAACACGTTCCTACGGAGATCTTGTTCAAGCACAAGATCATACAACTTATCTTCATCGTAGATTAAGTGATCCAAGCATTTCTATAGAAAAGTAAATATTTAATATGAATTTTGTTATAATTATTTTTAAACTAAAATATTTAGTAATTTTATTATAATTTTTTATTTTTATTTTTTTTAGAAAATTTGATTCACTTAATTTGGAGAATGATGCAGACAAAATTGAGACTAATAATGATAGTGAAAATTTTAAAGAGACTGACGATATTATAGTTTTAATAATTTCTAACGAAGAGCAACTGTTAATCAAAAGACCAGTAAATGCTTCGGTAGACAGCTCTACAGATACTATTAGACCAAATGGCGATTTAATAATTGCAAAGCAAAATGATGAAAAAAATTTGTAAGTTTATATTTTTATCTTTACCACATCGTATAATAGAATTTTTTAATTTTAATACCTGTATGAGATGGTGTTTAAAAAATTTCAATTTTCAAATTTTGAACAATTATTTATATAACAAAATTAATAATTAGATCTTATCAATTTAGTATATTTTTAATAAATAAATCACTATAGATTGAATCATATATTTACATACATTTGATAATCTCCTAACGTATCTTGCCAATGAAAAATATTTTTATTCGAAATTATTCATTTTTCATTTTTAGATCATTGATTGATATGGCAACTGTCATTCGATACACATGTAATCGTAATCAAAATGAAGAAAGCGACGCAAGCGAAACTAGTGTGCCATTAATTTCGCGAACGCCGAGTAGTATTTGTCCGGCATCTCCAATTCATCAAGATATCATGATTGATAATTTTGATCGACTCGATGATATTGATGGTTTACCAGTTATCCATTGTGATGTTCAAATCAGAGTCCAACAAATCATTGTCGAAAACAAGGTAATTTTATAAGTAGAATTATTTATAAATCAGACACTATAATAGCATAATACAAATTATAATAAAACTAATATTAAAAATTGTAATATATTAAAATATAGCTTTACAAAAAGTAAAACATATAAGAGCATGTATAAGAAATATAATAAACTAAGTAGATTTTCGTGTTATATATAAAATTATGAAACAATAAAATGCGCAAATATATATATATATATTAATATTTTTTATACTTCCAGCTTAAGGAAGAAGCATTAAGGAAAGAACTACATACAACAAGAATGGCTTTAATAAAACAAGTGTGCAATCATAATACAGATTCTGAAAGAGTTGACGATATTGTAAATTTTTAAATTAATTGAAATCAAATTTTATTCATTTTAGATATTATTTATACTGCGTTAATAAACATTTATATAATCTTTTAATTATAGGGCTCATTACCTGACTCTGTAGGTAGCACAGGAGACCATGGAGAATCATTACCTTCTGATATGTCGTGGGAAGCACTGGATGAGCCCGGACCAGCACCAACATTATGGGTTCCTGATCATGCTGTTAATCGATGTATGGGATGTGACACAGAATTTTGGCTAGGCAGACGCAAACATCATTGCAGGTAATATTCATAAATAAGTTAGCAATATTGTGAATTTCATATTTTAAATACCATCTTTATGAATAATTATCTTTATTAGAAAATTAGCTTTGAGGTAGTCCTTTTTGACTCGTGTGAATAACTTTTTTAAGCTAAAGTTTTAATATTTTTATGAATCATACATAATATAATGATTTGTACACAATGAAAATTCATTTAAGAAATGATTTTCTTCAATGTTTCGATACCTACCTTAGAATGCTATAAATTAATATTTTAACAATTTCATTTAAAAAATACTAAAAAATTTTACATGTTCATCTAATAGTGAGTCTGATCCAAGGACTACCTTCAAAGTGTGGTGGTATGTATTTTATGATTATAAAAATATAAATCAAATGAAGTTTTACTACTTTAAAAAATAATACCCGTTTGAACAATTAAATTATTAATGTTTTTAATGTTTGATTTACAAAATATCTATTTAAATAACAATTACTTAATTAAAATTTTTAATTATTTAACACGTTATTTATATTATCTTTTAATGTGCTATCATGATCACTTATAAATACTGTGAAACGTTTATTTTTGGAGTAATGAAAAATTATCTATGTTTAGATGCTGTGGTAAAATATTTTGTGCAGATTGCTCAGAAAATTCCACACCTCTGCCCAATGAACAACTATATAACCCAGTACGAGTCTGCAGAGACTGTTTCTCTCGATTACATCACCATATAAGTCCGTGTCAATGTGCGAACCGACATCAAACTAAAATTGTAGATAATGAAATTGAGAGTATAGTATCGCCACCATCGTTAGCAAATTTTTCGATGTTACCAAGAAACCCAATAATACAGAGTTTGGGTAAGGATGATTGTTGTGAATCGTCGTTTCAACTTGTACAGCAAAAGCAGAGTCAATCGCTGCCAATTGTTGAAACAAGTAGTGCGAATTGAGCGCCGGCGCTCAAATAAAAAAGAGACTTCTCAGGAAAAAGAAAACAGATAAAATAATATAAATAGATTACTAAAAGAATTGTATGCATTAAAAAAAAAAAAAAAAAGAGGAGCTTTAAAAGGTGGATTTCTGGCAAATTTATACATCATTTATATCGTATATAATAATATCTATGTTTAGATAAAGAAAGAAAGGACAAACAAGACATGAAAATAAGAATCGCACGATAGGCATGAAGAGGAGTGTTATTTTTTTCAGTGAACTAATATTTATTTCTAGATTAATCATTTATACAAAATGATATGTTTGAGAGTGAATGCTGGAAAAGTGATTATTTAACGACTAAAAATAAAAGATTGTGAACATATGTGTTTATTAGAGACAAAATAATTAATATGAACAAAAATTATTTAAATTGATAGAGTGAAGAGAAATTTATGTAGTAAAGTGGGAGAGAGAGAAAGAGAAGAGTGATTCTATATTAATTAGACTAAAGAAAGAAAATTAAAATAATATTGCTTTAAAATTTTTAATATTGAAACCGGCGTTTTGACTGGCTGTGACAGTTGTTTAATTTTAGATTGAATGAAAAAATTTAATTATTAATTGTTGGTTGATTAAAAAAAAAAAAAATTAATAATTCAACTGTAGTTGCAATTAAATTTTATGTAAATATATTCGTGAATATTATGTTCGTATACAAATGAAATTAGTTCTCTAATGCGATTCTGATGTTTTTATTATGGACTTGCACTTTTGGATGATTTTGTAAGTTTTATTTTTCTTGACGGCCTGGCGCCATTTTTGAAAATAAATTGAATGCTCGATTTCGGAGGAATGTATGTTTGCTTCGATAAATTTTTTTTTTTTTTTTAATAAAATCGAGCATTAATTTTAACTACAACAAAAATTGAAACGAAATAATTTTATACTTGATACATTAGAACAAAATACAAGTATGTTAGATAACATCTAATGCTTAAGAGTTATGCTGTGTACATATAAAATAAGTTACAAAGAAATTCGAAGGTAAAAAGAGTCAAAGTATTTTCGCGTTCTTTACTGTATTTAAACGTTAACTACATAGTTCTCGGATAGTGATTGCACGTTCATATCTGTGGAATTAATAAAATAAAAATAATAAATAAAATAAAACAGTTTATTTACAGTAAAAGTGTACATCTTTTATTTTGTTTACCTAATATTTTACATTTTTATATATCTTCACTCGATTAAAATATTTATACAGTTTTTATTTTACTTATATATATTTTTAATATTAGATATATTTTTTAGCAGTTCGCTTGTATTCATCAGTAAATTTCTTGTTCCTTCAGTATCATTGGCTTTTTGAAATTGTAGAAGTATCACAAGATACGTTGTGACTGAACCTACAATCTAATGAGAAATTTTTTTTAATAAACTATACCAGAATAAAATAAAAATTTTAAATCTTATTTAATGCAAATTCAATCGATAATTGTATACTAATTCTATAAAAGTGTCTTTATTATTTGAGAATTATCCAATCATTATTAAACTCAATTTTTATATAATCAGATCAGCTTATAATGATTTTAAAATCTATAATATACATTGACCTTATTTGGAAAAACGTTAATAAAAAATTATTTTTGCACAATACTGTTATATAAGAAAAAAATCCTTTAATAATAGCACGTACATTGTTTACATGACATCTATTGATTTTTGCCCAGACATGCATTGTTGTTACCGATTAAAGTATTGTACCTGTTGCCGATTCTGATTGATGCATTATTTCCGATATATAGTATGCTCTTTTAGGTATATTATTGAAATTTATGATAATTTATTTTCATAAATATCTAATATTGGAACTTGTAAATTATTTACCTTATTTTGCAATATTATCGATTATTGAGCAATTGTGAATTATTTTATTTATTTTGTTTTTCCATATGTAACTTTTTTAAAATTGATCATTATAAAACTATGATCCTTGCAAATAACCAATTTTCTTTTATTTTCCCAAATTTTACACAAAATTTGTATTTATAAATACAATAAATAATAAGATAAATTGATTTTTTTTAATTATAAGCTGATTCGTTTAAAAATATAATTTGCATATTTTTAGCTTAAAAAATCTATCTTTAAAATTTCAACCGTAGTTACGAGAAAATGATCCAGGCTGAAACCAATAAAGTATCTACGGCAAAAAATTCCTGTTATACAAAATTATTAAATCACATTATTACCGATGTAACTAATCCTCTGTCAAGGTGAAAAAGTCCACAAACTGTAAATTCTACGGGCCTCTGCAGTAGTTGAATCGAAAATATTTCTAGCTGTTTTTTTATTTCAAGATTCCAAGTATTCAATAAAGCTTGACCAACTAATGCTCCTATAGTTCTTGCCTATTCCATAATGTATAAAATACAAATTATTTTATTTTATTGAATCTATAATAAAGTTTCGTATATATATACATATATATATATATATATATATATCCAAATTTTATTTAAAATATAAATTAAATGTAATTTTATCTTTTTATTCATTATATTTTAAGTAATAACATAGGCAACTGAAAGTTTTGCAGGCATTAAAATCTACTACTGTAAATATATACAAAAAATGATTAAATAATATATATAAATATTATGAAAAAATAATAATTTTAATTTATCAAAATTAAAAAAACAGTTATAGTAATTTTTTATAAAATTATTAAACTTATTTATTTTGTATCAATTATTAAAATTATATTGAAATTTTATGAAAGAAATAAACCAACCTGTATTATCACCATGTAACAAGGCTGAACGAAGAGTAATAGTCTGTAAGTATGAAAAATAATCCAAAGAACTTGAATTATAATGACGTATCAGCTGCTATTATCTCTGTATATCATATTGTACAAAAAATAGGGCGTTATTGTCAGATGTATCAAACAGCTAATTGTTCCTATTAATATAGCACTGCCGTAACAATTATTAATGCAAACAATACAATCACAGAGAATTCCATGCATTGTTATTAGCTGGTTGATAGTATCCAATGCGGCTCTAGTTTCTAAATAAAAATTTATAGAGGTGGAAATAAATGAATAATAATTCAACTTCAATTACGCATTACAACTATGTTATAATCATATACGCATATTAAAATATACTGTTGTAAATATATAAATAAAAAATAATTAAACAAAAGATATAAATATTATGAAAAAATTATAATTTTAATTTATCAAATTTCAAAACATAGATATAAATGTTATGAAATTATTTATTAAATTATTAAACTCATTTAATGTTTAACTATTATTAAAATTGTATTGAAATTTTTTTAAAAAAATAAACCAACCTTTATTGTTACTAAATATATATATATATATATATTTTTTTAATTTTTATTTACTAAAACTTTACTAAAACACTACGATAAAGTGTATGTATAAATTTCTAATTCAAATTATTTAAATTCACAAATTTGTTAGTTTCATCACAATGATTCTAAATTAAAGTCGGAAAATTTTATATTAATTTTAAAAAAAGAAAAATTTTCTACTTTAAAATAAAAAATCATATACAATTTATACATTTATAATTAATTAAATTATTAATTAATTTTTTAAACACCTACTTCAACGATAATTAAACCAGAAACTTTATTCGAGTATAACGACTCTTTTCTTAAATTTGACATAGCTTTAATAAAAATGATCTTATTTACATATTTGACATTTCTCGAATTGTTTGGAATTTAATAAATTATCAAATTAGAAAATAATTTTTTTTCAAATTAATAAACTGTAATCATTCAAGCTCTTATAGATAAAAAATAAAATAATAATTAGTTGAAATTGATCATTATAGTTTTCAGGTATCACATTTCTTAAATAAAGATTCTAATTATAAATTCAAATGTTTCTGGATAGTAATGATTGGTAGTATGTGATTTATATTAAAAAACCAATGCAAATATTATTGTAAAAAAAAGATTCATTTTTAAATATATTAATATTAAAATTTATTTTTTAAATTACTTATAAAAGAAATATTCTAATGTTATTGATTATTATTATATCAAAAAGACATCTTTGATACCAATGACAGAATTAGCGTAAAACAATTATCTTTCTTTAGACAGGTAGTATAGCACAAAAGTTCATAATATTATTGAATTCATCGTTATCCTTATTATATTGTATTAACATAATAATATAGTAATATATTGAATTCATGTTTATCCATATATAAACGTATCTTACGTAAAATTAATTTTTTAATATATTTAATTAAGGTAAATTCTATTCCGTAAATTTGTGTTCAAATTATTTTCAAAAATTTAGTTTTTTGAAGTGTAAAATAACTAAGCGCCTTATTTAAGTCCTGCTTTCAAAAAATTATGAACTTTCTATTAAAAATGTGATTAAAAAACCTTTAGATTTATTGTAAAAATTAAAAATAACTTACGGTTATCGAATCCTATATCTTTATGAAATTTTTCAATGAGACCATTCGTTTTGGTAAAATTAACAATTATTATCTTCATTTTTAAGAATCGTTCTTCTACGTTGAAAATAATAAGTGCATACTGTATTTCAAAGGTCATTATTATAATGTACATAAAGTATAAAGGACAGTAGTTTATCGGCCCCTTATCACTGAAAACTTGTATTTTCTTAGAATTATAGAATAAAGTCCAACAGGTGTAGTCTAACAGAGATAATATTGCTAAATACACAAAAGTAGAGAAGATCACAATAATTGATAGTACATGAAGATTTTTCGAAGTTACAACTTTCAGTTGCTCGTCCACCTCAAAATAAAAAGATAGAAATAATTATACTCTGCGAGTCTTTAGAACAGTTTATTTTAATGTATGGCTATCTTTTCAAAGGTTTTCGATGTAATTTGTTCATATAACATTTAAAATCACAATGCTATATAAAAGCGTTGTATCAAGTTGTACAAATATTGTATTTTATTTTGTAACAATGTTAATTTTCTTATAATTTATAAAGTAACTTACATATCAGAAAATCTTTGTAAATTTATATTTGAATTACATTATTATAATAATTTATAACATATTATAACAAACGTATAGAGAATTATAGAGACTTAAAAATGTCTAACACTTCTCTTTTTTTATTAGACATGTTAATATTCGAAACCTCGTGTGAATAAAGACGTTAATTATTATCTTTACTGCAATTCAGCATATTAAATAATACAGTAGTTGATATTTATTGAATTTTATGGTTATATTAAAGCTTTGGAAAAGAAATAAAATTTTCTTCTTCAAATTTTCAAAATTTCAAATTTTCGATTTTCAATATTTGTATATTATTATGTAAGCAAATTATTTCAAATTGAAGCTTAGGAAATTAATTGTTAACTGTTATAAATTATAAAATTATAAACTTATATTTTAGTATATTTGTTTAGCAGTTGATACTGTCTAAAACATTAAATTTTTTTCAATTATGATAAAATAAAATTTTTTTAAAAACATGATTTTTGCAGGAAGTAATATTATTATTTTAATAATAGTAAAATATATTCTTTTCAAAAATGCTTATAAATTTCTATTTAAAAATTATTAAAAAATATAGAAATATAAACATTACAATTTTAATTATAAAATTTTAATTTTTTCACATAATCAAGAATTTCTCTAAGCAAATGATTAAAAATGTCTAATGAATTGAATAAATACATATTAAACTATTCATTATTTAATAATAAGAGTTAAATCGTTTAAAATTAAAACTTTTTTATTTACTTATTGTTTTGTTCATAATTGATAGTGATATTACGAATTATTTTAACAATATTTATATTTCTTTCTTTAATAAAATTATATAATCAATTAATATAATAAATACTAATTAATAAATAAATGGTTGAAAATTTAAAGAATAAATCATAAATTGTATTTTGTTATTATACAAACTAAGATTATACTATTCATATTGAGTTATTGTTGACATTTATGTATTGGTAATTTTGGTAATAATTATTTTATGTGGGTTACTTCAATTGCAGACACTTAATTGAGTAATAAGATACAAAGAATATTAATAATTTTACATGGATAATTTTATTTAAAGCCTTTTTCATGTTGTTCCATCGAAACGGTGAACCCATGATTATAACTGTTGTGACACTGATCACCGCTAGGACGTCGATGCAAGTTGCTGTTATCGCCGTCTCCGACGATAGCCGAATGCTGTTTTCCCAGCCATGACGTAAGTCTCGAAACAATCCCCAGCATTGTAATCCACTGCATGTCATCAATACCCAGAATCTTTTATAAAAAAATAAAATTGCTATAAGAAATTGGAATGTTTTATTTTTTTAAATTATTTGCAGATACATAGTTGACAAAATTAGATTTTCTACAAGTAAAGTTGTCCTTTCTTTCAATTGATTTAATTTCTTTTACTGATCTGACACTTTATTCATTAAATATAATATAAATTTTTTACTTCATATATTTTTTGTTACTCACAAAATATATTAAATATCTACTGCATTTATAAGAATAATGTTGTATTTTGAATAAAATAGTAAAGTAATATATGAAGTAATATATTCAGTACTTATTTTCTTTTATGAAAAATCAAATTTTTATCAAATGTTCATCAATTTTCTATCAAATTTTTATGAATTTACTAAAACTGCAAATTTATTACGCACATTTTAAATACTTAATTTAATTACAAATTAAGTACAAAATTTCCATACCCGTAAATGATCTGAAAAATGTTTGATGGATTCTCCAGCATTTCCAATTTATTTTTATTATATTTTAAAACAAAAATTCCACAAACTTTACTCATAAAATAAATTGGTTCAAACATATAAAATAATTTGGATTCCAATGTTTCATTTTTTGATTCAGATTTTATACCAGTTTTAAAATATCCCCTTCTTTTACGATAATTTTTTCCTGAGAATATAAATTATAAATTTTATTCTTTCAATTTGTACATACATAAATTGTGTTTTTCAAATATTATTAATAAAAGTAAACTAATGCATATATTTTATTTTATTTTATATTAATTTTAATTTAATCTCTTTACGGTCAATATTCAGTTGAAATATTTTATTAATATAAATAAAATTTTTATTCTAAAATTAATTATAATTCTTTATTAAACGTAATAATCAATTTTTAATCGGTATAATCATATAGCTGAATAATATTATAACAATGCTCAATATAAGTCTTGTAAACAGATAAACAATTAAAGTTAGATTTTGTAATATGGCTCTGCAATTAATGTATTTTTTAATGTACTTCAATTATATTATCAAAATGTTTATACTTTTTTTAAAAATAATATTAAAAGTCTCCATATTTGATGAATTAAGTGAATCGTATTTAATTTTCAATGTTTATAATATAAATGAAATTTATAATATAAATATTAATATAATTGGAAAGGTTTACTGCACTTGAATGTAAAGTAACGAAAACAAATTTATAAATAAATCTAACTTTTATTTATTAACAATCTGGTAATCGTAATAAGAATCTAAATCGATATTATATTACATACAATTATAAACGTATATATTTTTATCTATCGATTCAAATAGGAAAATAAAATATAAAATTAAAATCATTTGTATATCCACTAATAATAGTGAGTCTTTAAAATTACCTAGATATAATCCAGGTAATTAATAGTAGTTAATTTAAATTATACGTGTACTAGCTATTATTATATTAAAAAATTATTTAAAAGTCGTCTATAATAATGAATATTGTACTTTCAATTACTTAGGAACAAATTATTTCTCTTTGCTAGATTTTCACGTTTAATGTTTAATTTTACAAACACTTTCAAGCAAATCTCATTGCCAGATATTACGTACGATTGCTCTTATTTAATTTATTAAATTATTAATTTTATTCTCTCGTCCTTATATATTCTCGTTTTACTATATATTTTATGAAAAAAAAATAAAACAAATTTCTTAATTAATTGTCTATTACTTATTAATTTTTTATTTCAATTTAATATACCATAATAATTTCATTGTATATAACTCATTCCAAAATAGCAATCTCATTTCATTTTCGGTCACATTTCAAAATAACAATCTTTGGATAAAGAATGATTTTTTATTGTAATTACAAGTTTTTATAAATAATTTTGAAATGTAAATAAAAATAATATATAAAAAAAATTAAAAAATAAAAAAATATTTAACACATACAATTTATTAAAATACTATATATATAAACAAAACTTACTTATTAAAGGCAATTATTGAAAAATTAATATTATGATTTGTTTTCGTAATTCTTGTGAAATAAAGTGATAAATATATATTAAAATATATCGATAAATAGAAAGCGATATGAAATTTGAAATGAAACAATTACAAAATTTTATCATATATATATATATATATTTGTTTATTCAATATCAATAATAATGAAATGATTTTAAAAATTGACCTCTAAAATTTTAATATAAAAATTTTAAATGATTTAATGTAAATTGGTTATAGTTATTTAAGTAATTATTAAAAGGAATAACTGTTGATTCAAAAATAAAAATTTGTCATTCAACGTAATGGGTTATAAGAAAATACAATTTATTGTTACAATAGAATTATATGTTCATTTTAATAATGTTTAATAAGTGTTTATTTAATTGGTTTAAAAGAAAAATAATTAATTAATTATTGAATCAAGATTTTTAAAATGTATATGCTTGTATACCGTTAATTTTAAATAGTATCTCACTTTTTATGTAAGCAAAAATTAAATTTTACAATATAATTATCAAAATAATATTTTTGATTTTATGTTTATCGATTATTACTATCCTGCCTATACACGTAATCATATTTTGCCTAAATGGCTTCAAAATCAATTTCTTTTTTTTTTTTAGATTCCATGATTCCAATTCCTTAGGATCTGAACTGCTTGAATGCCATAAATAGATATTTAATTTTTTATAAATTCTAGTTTTCCAAGATTCTTGTTCTGTTTAAAAATTTGAATTAGACTTAAGAAATCTGAAAATGAAACGTATATAAGCTTTATCACTGTATTTAACGTTAAAATTTTTAACTGTCACCGAAAATTTTTTTGTTATTATTGTATAATTGTTTATAGTTTTTAACCAATCAGTTTAATTTATTTACGTAGAGAAGTTGAATTTAATGTTAGTAAATGTAATATTATGTAATTAGTAATTAATTTAATTTTGAAATAATTCGGTTCGACTCATTAATTTTTATATTAGAATACAAGGATACTTTTTTCATTAAAAAAATGTCTGATCTGATAGATTTTGAAAGTCCAAATACAAAAAATATTGCATTATTACTACCATCGCCTCTTATACCAGCACCAGAAAATTTAAAAAATGATGGATTCAATTCAAATGAGGCTGGCTCTCATAATGGTGAATCTGAAAAATGCAGAAGTACAGAAAATAATCCATTTGATATTGTGATGAAAAAAATTATAGATTATGAAAGAAACAAAGAAGATCCATTTGAGACAGTAATTGAGAAAGCAAACGAATGTACTATTAAGATACCTGAGTCACGTGATAATTATAGTACTCAAAATACCAAATATTTAGATATTGTGAAAACGAACAATGCTTTAAAAGAGACTGAAATTAATATAGATATACCATTATTAAAAGGAGAAAATGACATGAGTATTATTACAGACTTAAACAATACCAATCTTATTAGTGATAGTATCAATGAAAATGAAATTATATCAACATTGAGTTGTGATAATAATATACCTAATATATATATTTCACCAACAAGTTATAATAAAGATTTATCACTTTTAAATAACTCATCAATGAATGATTCTTTAATGGATCATGATGGTGATTTAACAAAGGAAATAAAAAATATACCTACTGATTTTAGCACTTGTTTTAAATCTATGTCACAGAATTGTTGCAAGCAAAATTTTTTGGGTATACAAAATAAACGATCCATGTCTATGTCAGATACATTGAAAAGTAACATGTTTGGAGAAGACTATTTATTGAATAGTGCCCATTCTAGTATATTTGAAGATCCATTTAATAAAGCATTTCGTAAAAATAGTTTAAGAAGTACTGTGAGCTATAATTCTAGTTATTTAAGTAATCAATTTGATTTATCATTAAGCAAACAGAATTTAGACAGACGAATTAGTAACAGTTCAGTTTTTTCTGGATTATCAAATATCTCTGTTATTCCTACCGATCCTGTTCTCAAAATAAGGCATAATAGGTTTTGTAGTGAAAGCTCTCTTTTTTCTGGTATTTCAAATGTATCAACAATCTCTACAAATAATTTTATTTCTTCATCTGATTCATCAGTATTTTCAAATGACACTTTAAATAAAGGATTCATTAATAGCCAAACTCAACCAACAGATTCAACAAACTCAACAACAGATCCAAATCCAGTAAATGCATGTGAAAAGTCTGATTTGATAAAAAAATTTTTTGAAATAAAAAGAAGAATGTCAACTGCAGAAATAGAAAAACCAAAAATTGAAGATAATGAACAAATTCAAATAAATCACTCTTGTACAAAATACGACTCACAGATAGAAAAAAAAGAAAATTATGATGAGAAGCTTATAGATATTGATAGCAGTTTTAATTCAGTTTTTAATGTAAGATATTTACTATTATTTATTATTTAATAGTATAAGTAAAAAAAAAAAACAATATTAATATTTTATTTAATAAGTATAAAAATGGTTTTTTAGTAATTAATATTATTTAAATTTAATAGTTTTTTTATATATTTTTTTAACATATTAAGATTTAAAATTTGTAAGGAATTTTTTATTTTAGACATTTAAAAAAAGTCTATATACAAATTTATAAAAAAAAAGACTGAACTTTTTAGTAAAAAATAGTGTTAATTGTACTTAAATTGAGTTTTTAGAAAATACACAATTTGAATAATAATAATATATTGAATTTTATTTTAGGATGAAACTGAAGTCAATGAAATTATTTTAAATGAAGCAAGATTACTTGCAGAAACTTTCGAAAAAATGGCATCAAGCAAAGAATCAACCTGTGAGTATAGTTACAAAATAAATTTAACAACTTCCATAATAACTGGATTTATCATATCATTTCAGCAATAACTGAAGATGATTTGCTTTCAAAAATCAAATTAAACTTTGATTATTTACCTAAATCAGATGACGAAACTGTAGATAATTTAATCGATTTACCTACTTCACCCTTAAAAAACACGTTATTGTCTAAAGTAGATACAAGTACAGAAAAGCATGTTGAATCAAACGTGATTTTACTACAAGATAATATAAAAGCATTAGAAAATGAATTTATTGAGAAAAAAAGTTATAATAAAAAGGCCACAACAGCTACACTATTATTAGATCTTGAAAAATTAATCAAAGAGGAAAATAATCCAGATGCATACAAAGTTTTAAATGATTTGCAAAAATTGTTAGGCATTGAATATGATAATAATGCTGAGATTTTACAATTATATTTACAAAATACTGATAATTTACAAAATAAAAATAGTGAAGAATTACATTTTAGTAGAAATATAGATAATAGTAATTATGAATCGAATACATCTAAGCAAAATATAATTAGTGATAGAGACAGTGATTCTTACAATTTAAAAGAAAATATAGAGAACAAACAGAATAATATAATTAATAGTAATTTGAAATTAAATATTGTAGATGAATTAAAAGAAAATATGATAGATAGTAAAAATAAAATTAATGAGTTTCAACATTCAAAAAAAAAAATAGATAGAAAGAAAGAAAAAAGAAAAGAAGACGATACATCTGAAGATCAAAATCTTACTAAAATTCTTATGACTTCCTTAAAAAAAATTATAAATGAAAAAAATGAAAATTCTGCAGTCGATATTTTACGAAGTTTAGGTACTGCACTCAATATGGTTACGGAATTACAATCAAAAAATGACGATAAACCAAATTCTGATATAAAAAAAAAAAAAAAATATTTACCAATCGAATTGCATCATTTATCAAATTCATTTAATAAATCAAGTTCAATAAATGTCGATATAAAGGTAAAATATTTATTTTTAATATATTAATTAAAATAATCTGAGGAAATATATAAAAATATATTTTAGAATCGATCTTTTGAAGTATTACCAGTTCCAAAAAGTATTTCAATAAATTCACCAAACAAAAACAGGAATTTACTAGATTCTTCATTTACTAAGGATAAAAGAAGATCTCATTTATTAAATCTAAAGAAACGTTTTTCAAGTGATCCAGGATATAAGCGTCCTGTTATGGAAATAAATGGAAATGAAGAGACAGTAGAGCAACGATTTAATTTTAAAACAAGTACTAATTTATAAAAAACTTAAATTCGAAAAGTTAATTTTTATATATTGATTTTTAAATTTTGATATTTTGAAGGTGCAACAACAAATAAACAACTTAAAACGAAATTCAAGAAAAAATTTAATTCTGATATAGTTACAAAAAAAGGACCTCTCAAAGCTATTATTCCTTTGGATAACATGGAAAAACGAGGTGAAGATATAAAACTTTTGATTTATTATTTATTAATTTAATTGTTTACATTTAAAAAACAAAGTTATATCTACAGGTTCGATTAATAAAAAAATGTCTTTGAATAATGTTACTCCTCCAAAACCGATTGACGTTGTTCCTACATTAAATATCGTGAGTAGTACGCCAAATACAAATGAGATTAACAAAAATTGCAAGTCCGAACCAACAGCTTCTTCAACTCCTAATATAGAAGGTTTGAGAATGCAACGAACCATTGTTCAAAAATCACTAACTTTAAACAGCAAGAGCACATTAATAAGTAATGTATCTTCTGCTTTGCTGAGTTCTAATACAAAAGAACCAGTTGGACTTTCAGTAAATTGTAATAAAAGGTTATCAATTATTTTTATTAATAATGTGATAATTAAATCTATAAATTTATATGTTATAATCTGTATCTTAAAATGTTTTGAAATTTTTATGTATTCAAATTTAATGAATTAAATACTAAAATTATGCAGTACTAGTTAAAACCAAAAGAGTAGATGGTATAACAAAAAAATATGATTGTTTAAATTACATATTATTTTACACACAAACTATTTACTATAAAGTCTAGAATCATAAAATTATGAAATGTATTATCAGAAGATTTTTTTCTTTAAATAATAAATTACATGTATTATTTATAAATAATAGAATATTGAATATTATATTTAATTATAATTCAATACAAATTTTTAATTATAATATTAATAATAAAAAAGTATAAAATTAGAGACAGAGCATATATTTTATATGAATTTATGATAAAAAATCAATAGAATATTCAAATATTTTTTAAATAAATTTGATTTAAAAAAAATATAGTTTTTGTTAATTACAGAATGCAACGAACTTTGTCGCCTCAAAAAAGGTCATTCACTCCTAAAAAAACTTTTGAGAGTAGTCTTGAATCTAGATTGCCAAGATATTCTCCCCGTCCTATTCGGGTACGAAACTATTCTTTTGATGATTTGAAAACAGCCAAATCGCTACAAACTATGAGTAACGTACCAAAATTTTCATCTGAAAAAAAATTAAATCGACCTATAATCTTGAGTCCATTAAAAAATTGTAATAAGGTGAAGCACAAGGAAAAATTTGTAAGTTATACCGCTAAAATTAATAATTTGTACATTAGTTTTACATCTACAAGTATTTTTATATCGATCACTATATAGGTATCAAGATTGGGAAAGTCTAGTAATATGCAGTCAGACTCTGAAAAAGAAAACTATGCTTGATGGCATGTAAAACGTCATAATTTAATTGATGATCAATATTAGAAGACAGATTTATTTTGTGTACTTTGAAGTTAATTTTGTATACATTTTTTCAAAATAAAGTTATTATTTTAATTCAATTCAATGTTTACAAATAAAATATACTTTTTACATTTTGGCGTGGGCGCGATATATTTATAATTTAAAAAAATATAGTAAATATTAAATAATTATTTATTATAAGTTCTAGATATATCAAAATAGAAAAGAATGTTTAAATTATTGATATGATTATAACTCTTCTATTAATTAAAAATATTTTTTTAATACATATCATAATTCAATAATCAATATTTTTATAGGATTATATTGAAGCGATTGAAAAAGTATAAACAGAATTTTTTAATTTATAAGAAATTTGTTATTATAGACTTAATTTCTACATATTGTTTAATTTTCTAACAAAAATTAATATAAATAATTTATGAAGATCTAATAATAATTTGTTTTAAATTTTTAAATTTTTATTGAGAACATTTTTTATTTAAATGCAAATGATTAAACGTTTGCATTTCTAAAGTTACTTAAAAAATGAATTGTAAAATTGTGTTAAATAGTTCAAATAAAATTTAAAGTTATAAATAGTTAAAGTTATCCATGTATTAAAATAGCAATATATTCAACGGACAGATAAAATTGACAGATTATTAAAATAAGAAAATGGTAGTAATAGCTACTTGTATTAAGAATTCTGAATAAAAATTTGGCTCAGTATTTTATTTTTTACTTAAATATTCTACTTTATATATTTAAAATATCTTATTATTTTCTTCGATTTTTTGTTAAACTCACTATAAAATATATACAATATTTTTCTACAATATTATATTATAATATTTTACAATAAATTACTAAATTATTTATTTAAAAAAAAATAAAAGTTTTTAAATCGTTTTCAAACACAATCTACTTAAAAACTTTCTTCCATAATTAAGAATTAAAAAGTTATTGCTCTTTATGGATGTTGTATAAGTTATATTTTTTGAAATCTTTAAAATTGGAAATAAAATAATTATCCATATCTTAATTACAACTATATATATTATCTGAATATATTTGCAATCTCTTACATTATCACTAGTTAAACTTCAACATTTTCAAATTTAACAAAAAATAATATAGATCGATCTATTTGTAGCCTTTGTAAATTAAATTTGTTAAAATCACTCATTTTGTAAATAATGCACGTTCATACGTAAATATAGTCGTACGTAAGTAGATATATACGTACGTAATAGAGAAAGAAGTCATGAGAAAAATGAAGAATTCATTATTATTCAACGAGATCGCACAGTATTAATGAAATCATTTTTTACATATACAAAAATACTATGATTTAGATGTGAATGAAATAATTTTACGATTCTTATGAGGAAAATTATTTTAAGGAAGTGTACAATAATTTTTAATAATTCAAGAATGTAAACAAATTGTAAACTTGAAACGTGAAAATGTAAACAAATTCTATAAATGCAATATTATATTTAGAAAATGTATAAAAGAAATTATTTTAATAAAAGTTTTTATTGAAATAGAAGATAGAGTTTCTATTTCCAAGATTCCAATATAAAAATATTTACAAACATAATTATTTGAAAATTGAAAGTGTAACATTTAAAAATAATGATTAATTAAAAACTTTTTTAAAATGTTACCGTGAAAAGTAATAAAAATTTTGTTAATCTACATTAGGATTGTTTCATTTATCAAATTTTTACATCAAAATTATAATTCATAATTTTACTCAGCTAACTTGTCGGTATGATATATGCTAGTATTTATTTTCAGTGAATCCATAAGAAATTTCAAAAGCAATCAGTAGTACGTATCTGCAAACAAAAGATTTTTTATCTTTTCTTTCGTACGTAAAACTAAATAAAAAAATTAATTAGGTAAAATATATTGCGTATGCATTTTTCAAAATTGGGTATTTGATTTAAAGCAAAATACATACGGAATCATATGCATACTGTCAATACCAACGGTTAGTATGATAGTTATTAAATCTGAATGCAGATGATAATTTTCTGGATTTTTATGATGATTATATGGCGTTTATTTTATAATTCGATTAGTAAAAAATGTTTATTACAATTCTGTAATGAAAATTAGTTTCAATTTGAAAATTTAAGTAATGTGCGTCTTTTTTCATAAGTCTAAGGCAACCCTTATCTCCTCTTTATCTTTATAGCTGAACTTAAATAAATCCATTTTCGATAGTTGTATATTCAGTAGGGTACTACGGAGTTTCTGCAATATTTTGATTCATTATTTTTTCCTAAGATTCGTTAATACAGACCCGAAAAAATTATCGAGTGATAGAGTTGATTATTGCAGTTAATAATTTGTCTTTTCGTAAAGTAATATAGAAAATTCTATTACTCAGAAGTGAATTATAAATTTTCTTCTCTGAGAATTGTCATCTCAGTTGAAGCAGAGAGAATTATATATATATTGATAAACAAAAAGCTAAAGAAGTATTAAGCACTAATTGATCTAAGTTTTTTATTTTTATTATATTTAAACATTCAATTTGTTATATTTAAACTAAATTTTTATAATATATATATATATATATGTATGTATATGAATGTAATCGTATTTAAAACTGTATACTCTATTTATATTATACGTAATTATATATTGTAAAAATTATAATTTGTATACGCTTCCTTATATCTGGCTAACGGACTTTGTATGTGCGTTAGGTACACTTTAAGTAGATCTCTATAATTGTGCCTATAATTTTTCTAAAAAGAACAAAAATAAAATGTTAGATGATGGTGAATAATGTATTATATTTCAAAGACAATAGAAGTAAAAAATTTGATCATAAAATACTTACTTGATCTTTTTGTCGTCTATAAATATGTATAGTTCCGTTTGGTCGTAATATACTTCTAATTACTATTTTCTTAATACATCAATTAATTTTATTTTCTGAATTGCAATATTGAAACTGTTTTTAAATGTACATTTCAACTTAAAATATTTCTTACTTTAATTAATGATAATGTTAAGCAAGTAATAATAATTCTTAATAAAAATATTTATATAATGTAACTACAACGTATATTGTTATTTTAATTTTTTTCATATCTTAGAATAATAAACATTTTAGATTTTAATTAATTTTTTAGTAAAGACGATAATAATTATTATATTATGAAACTTAGTATTAAATTAATATTATAAAAAATTATATTTTAATTAAAGTTTATAAGTGCAAGCGTGTTATTCTTTGCAAAAAAAATCGGCATAAAAATATGAAAAAATTTTCAGATTGACTTCGATTGCTACAATTTATTATTTTTGATAAAGAATTATAATTCAGAGTATTTTAGCTTTAATAATAAAGAAAATAAATATATCTTTTTTCATTTTTCTCTGTCTATCAGTCTCTCTCTCTCTCTCTCTCTCTCTCTCTCTCTCTCTCTCTTTCAATGTGTAAAGTAATATGAAATTTATTTCAATTGTTAATTTTATAGAAATTTTATCACTTTAAATACATTTTTCAATGAATTAACTTTTTCTGTATAAATATAACGTAGATATTCTTTTTAATTTACTTGGTATAATAGTATGTAATATTGAATGTTATTTCATTTTACTATGTATGTCAGATAACTCAGTATTCATGTTATTAAATTTTTAAATTAATAAATATAATGTGAGGTTTTTGTGAACTTGAGATATAAACCTGAATAGATTTTTAATTAATTTTATTTTAAAATTTTATTCTAATATCACTCTTCCAAAGCTTGAGATATGACAGAAGTAAAATATAGTAATGAATTTTCTGAAAACTTCTCTAATTAATTAAACTAATAAATGCATGATTAAAAATAACAATAATATACGTATTACATAATTACAAAAATATTTTAAATACTTTGTTTTATATGCTATAGATTAATACAGATTTTTTTATTATAAAAATAAACGTCAAAATTAAATCATAATATTTTTAAACAAATACAAATAATTTTAAACATTTTTTCAGCTAAATATGTAATAAATATGACTTCCTATATTTATATATTAAAAATTATTGATTTTAATCGAACAAATGATTATCGATTTAAGTATTATAATTAATAATTTAAAATATTCAAATAAAAATACATAGATAATTTAATAAAATTTAATAAATCTGAACGGTTAATACGATACATATCGTTATTTGCATACATTATATACATGATACTATTATGATCCTTACTATAATTTTCATTTAACTTATTAATGAAATATATATATTTATTACTAATGCAATGATAATAATGTAAACATTAAAAATAAAAAATTTGCTTTCAAAATTTATTTATATTTATAAGATTAGATCAGAATTTTATAAGATATATTTTAAGTATTAAGAAGTTGTTAACAAAATTAATAGTTACAAATGAAAATAATTTTTTTAATTAAAAAGATACTTTGTAAAACGATATGATCTACTAAACAATGTAATTTATTATACAAATGTAAGATGATTTACTAAAAGTTTATAAATAATATTATATAATAATAATCTTATATCAATATATATATGTATACATTAATTCATTTTATAAATAATAAATAACGAATTCAGCAAAAGAATTAAATTATTAACTGAGCTTTTAAAGCAAGCCCGAATATTTAGTAGTTAGTATAAGTACTTATAAATATGTTTTATATTAATGGATGTTTCACTTAATGAAGTTGTACTAATCATTTGTTATCATTTAACGTTAATTATAATGATGATGAAGTATTAAAGCGTACTACTTTAATTTGAAATCGATCGTCGATATTTTCAAATATATTTCGACTTTATATCATTTACAATTAAAAGCTTAAGAAATTAATTTAATAAATCTTTAATATAACTGATTATAAAATGAATATTTTTTATATGCGATAATATTGACAATTCTTATTTATTTCATAAAATTTGATGAGAGTGAATTAAATATGATTATTATTTATGCAGTATTACTATTATTCAGCATTACTATTTATTTTAATTTGTTTAAGGCTAAAATTTTACTTCTATTTTTTTCAAAAAAAAAAAAAAAAAAGAAAAAAAAGAAAATAATAATTGATTTCGCTATTAATTAATAAAATCTTATTAACACAAAACAAGTCCAATAGTTAAAAATTAAATTTTAATTTAATAAAAGAATATTATTATCTTATATACTGTTAGGAAGGTAAATTTTCATTATTTATAAATTTGATAATAAACTAACTATATTTGTAAGAAAATTTTATTTATAAAAATAAATTTTTAATTAATAATTAAAATTTACCTTCCTAACAGTATATAAGATAATAATATTCTTTTATTAAATTAAAATTTAATTTTCAACTATTGGATTTTTTTTCAAAAACACTTATAAATGTTTCAAAGAAATAAAAATATTATGTATCAGATTATTTGAATTTTCGGAATTTAATTTAACATATAAACAGTTCATCGTGTTATTAATTATATATTTATGTATAGTGTGTACAGATCATTTGCCGAATTTTTCGATAAATTGATTTTATTATGTTAAACGAATTTATTATCGAACAACTGATCAGCTACTGTTAAGTAAATGGATAAACAAATTGTATAATAATCTTCCTTTTATTAAACCAAGGCATTGAAGGTTGCTCGGGTAAAAGTATGCTTTGTCATGTACATTGTTTAAATGCGAAATAATTGTTTCACGTTAAAATACAGAAGTCGTGCATAATATTATGGTCTAATAAGAATAAAATTAACGTTGACCGATTGCCTAATGAAAGTGTGTGTGTTTATAGGCAACGAAATGGTTTTTCAGAATTTTGACAATTAGGAACAGTGGCGATGACATTAAGTCCGAATTCCGGCCACATTCGCACTCGAGTTTCTTACGCGCTCGGTACACGAGCCGTGTTTCTTACACTTCCTTACGTGCGCGCGCGTCAGAAAGCTCGGACCCGCGTCATTCCTCCATTGGAGATCTCAACTTGCAAGTGTCCCTGCGGCAAGCAAGCTTTGGGTGTAGTGTTGACGTCGGGGGCGCGAATCAATTCGACTGCGAGGATAAAGCCCTGTAGAGCCTTTATTACGACCCGTTCACGCACACGAACGCATACGTGCACGTACACGCACGCGCACACAAGCACGTGGAAAAGCCAGTGTGAGCCCAGCCCGTCGGCCGGGGCGAGGACGAACGGTCGAAGCGGAGCGTTTCACAATCCATCGCCGTCGGCGAGTTCTCGGGAGTTGGACAGTGCGCTGTGGTAGCAGTCGATGCGCTGTCTGTCTCTCCCCGGGCAGAGTTACGTTCAGTTTCGCGCCGGACGCCGTAGCGTCCGGTCATCGCGATTAAGTGGCGGTTCGTATTGCAGTCCACTCCACCAGGAAGGAGGCGCTATAAAAGCGCACGAGGTGATAAAACGGGTGTGGGTTAAAAGTTAAGAGGAAATTGCCGCTTGTTTGGCTGTAGAGCATCCACAATCAACTACGAACACGAACGATCGAGCGCGCGTATTTCTTCGTAGTCGGAAGGGTACCAAGGAGGAAAAAGGGAAGAGAATCCATACGGAGGCTCGCTGATCCTTCCTTTTGCAGTTTTAGATGGCTGAATCATACTTTGCATCCACGTCTTGTGTACCAAAAGCAAGCGAGCTAAAGCAAGAGTGAGAAGTGTGATTTGTGTGTGTTTGAGGGGGGGGGGGTGTATGCGTGCCCGCACGATAGAGAGAAAAAGAGAGTGAGGAAGCGAGGTAGCGCGCGCGCGCTTAAAAAGCCGCGCCCGCCGGTGCCGCCGCCGCCGCCGCCGCCGCCGTCATCGTCGTCGTCGTCGATGTCGTTTCGTTGTCTTCTCGTCATCGTTACTACTCCTACTGTCTAGTTGAGCGGCGCGCGCCAGCGAAGCGTGTGGCCGTTCACGTTCGATTTTTCTACGGCCGAGCAAGAGAGAAGGAGCTATTGGAGGAGGACGACAACGGCACTTGCAACGAGTGCAACACAAGGTAGACGTAGACCGGGTACATGAGAAAATGGGGGCCGAGAGTCGTGCATGAACAATTACGCCCGTCGTCTTCGACTTCTATTCATTTTTTTCTTTCTTCACTTTATCGTTCGTTTTACGTCGAAACGTCAAAGTAAAGGCATACGCTGGGCAAACAAGCGGCACGGAACTATAGAGATAGAGAGTTAAATTGAGTCGAATTGATTGAATGAGTAAGTGAGTGAGTGAGAGAGTGAGTGAGTGAGTGAGTGAGTGAGTACCACATAGCGCATTTCTGCATGCGTAATTGCATTTAGGTGTACAGCGACTACGGCGATCTCTTTATCGATATTTTCTTCTTTTTTCGAGATTTTTCACGCGTCGCACGGCATTTTTCGGAGTCGCTGAGCTACAGCGCGTCGTCAAGGCCCTCGCCTCGCCTCGCCTCACCAGCCTTCTTCCCTCAGTCTGCGCAACGAGCCTTTGCCTTTTCCTTCTCACGCGCAGTCCCGGCCCTGGCGGCAGCTTCTGCGTACCTCTGCTCTCTCTCTCTCTCTCTCTCTCAGTGTTGCGCTCCCTTTTGCGCCGGACGGCTGCTGTGTCGCGCGCGCGCTTCCCCGGTCTGGAATTAATTGCGTTGCGCCTTACAAGTCGCAATAATCCACACCGCAGTTGCTTGGCAGAGGTGTGTGCGCGTGTTCGCTGGGAATAGTTGTGACCTGAGAACAAGAGACAGGTACTTCCAAATGTAACGTGCTGCAGGATTATTCGGTGTAAGGAAATTTCCCATGCAGGTTGAAGGTCTATAAAGCTCGCATTCGGGACGTGACTCCCACAACGGCAGCTTATCTTAGCGCTTCCTATGGACGGACTATGCGTCGAATAATTGATAAGTGTCGTGGTTGCCGTCGTAGGCGCCGTCTACACATTTGTACCCGGCTCAAAATTTAATCCAAGCAAGGTTCAGAATGTTTGTTAACCCAAAGACTCTTCGTTGTTCCGAGTTGCTTATGCAGAATTGGGAGCGCATGGAGTAAGGTTACAGACGCGTGTAATCGTGATAGCCGATTTCGCAGTGGTTTGTTTGCAAAATGCAGTGGTTTGTTGTGTGGGCAGTGCTGTTTCTCAATTGTGCGCCGAATTTTTTTCCATATCGCATACCTGTATGAAGCTACCCGCAATAGAATTTTGTATGATATTTTAACGTATCTTTGTGCTTATATTTGTGTCCTTCTCGTAACTTTCTATATACGAATCTCCGAGTTAGACACTAAAGAAATGTTGTGTATTCGATTCTTTAAAACTCTATCCTGTGTATGTGTGTACTTAAAACAACAAAAAGGATCTTTCGTCTCGTGTTACTGACCGATGCGGTGGCACTGCTTTTTCTCTACAGTTGCATAGCTTTATCCTGCTCCATACTTGTAACTATATACATCTATATATCCGTCTATATATGCGTAATGGCACGCGGTGAATTGTTGTTAAATACCCAATTACATTTATGGGTTTATCTATTAGATAGGATTAATTATTCTCTTGCGTACCGATTTTTTACGTAAAATATTTCATTTATATATTCGTATATTTCTTTAAGATTGAGGGTCGACATATTTTCTACTTTATCGACACCACGTTTTCTTTCAACCGTTAAAGATTTTTTCTGATAAAAATGTCTAAATCTGCTCTTTCTTTACTGATACATGTTTAATTCATATATAGATCATTACAAATAATAATAATAAATGGAAACAGGAAAAATTTTAAGTTTTCCTAAATTCAATCAGATTTTATTTTTGCATTTTTTCATTGTATTTTCACTAGTGTAGATAATTGATGCCTACATGACAATAAATAAAACAAAATTATAACAATGATTCTCAATGTTGTAAAAATATTTTCAATATTTAAAATACAAGTTACAGTTTATTTTTCATTAACATTTTTAATATTTATGTAAATTGATAATCTTCGAGATTCCGGTTCTATTGCAATACGTACTATCAATTATATGTAATTTGAATTAATGCTACTCCTGAAAATTGATTATATCAATGATAAGTAAAAAAGGTACATGGTGTTAATTTAAAAATTTAAAAATGAAAATGCATGTGACGAATGGTAATACTAACGGTATCGTAAACACGTTTGCAATGATTATCTTAAAATATCATTGCAATTATTAATTTTTTTTTTTTTTTTTTAATAAAGAATATTGTATAAGAAAATGTGCATACATTTTCTAAAATATTTTTAAAATTATTGAAAATATTAAATCCATATTCGGCTGTAACCGAGCACGATACATAGATCGAATATTGAATTCTCATAATTGAGCACGATTTCGATGCAACAGAAGAACGTTTATAAATTTTAATCACAGACGGCTCATTTTTGCTTTATCGTGTATGGAAATTGATAAAGGTTATGAAGAAACTAATTTATCATTTAAATCAAGCGTTCCTATACTTTTGTAAAAGTGTAAACTGTAACTTCCCTACCTGACGTATTAAAAAGGGTTCGTTCGCTCCCTTTAGAAATTGTTCGCTTAGAATCGGGAAGCTCATTAAGAAACAGTTATCACTTCGGTTATTCCCAAAAGAACTACAAACGCAAGATTTTACATTAATGTAGGTAACATATATCCGCACGCGTACTTTTATAATTTTCCTATTTGTTGCAACACCCACAATGGTTTTGAATAATTTTTTTCGAGGGAAATAATTTGAAGACACCTGTTGATTTTTTGGCTACAACGATATATCTGATAGATCCATAATTGGTGTGACAGCTCTAACTACGGATGGAAGGAACGTCAACCGTCCTGATGCATATGTGCATGCGCACGCCGCCAATAATTCCACTGCTCATCCCATTACACTGGCTATCGTTCCTCCCCTGCTGTGAATCTCGTGAATGCCGAACTGTTTTCGAATCGAAATTTATATTGTATTTCATTATATCTGTGACGTATTTTGGATTTATTACGTAGTGCTGATGACGACGGCACTTGGACCTTAAGGCCTCGCTGTTATCGTTTCTTTCCTTTCTTTTGCCTATTAAATTCTGATCATACATATCTGGCCGTACGATACGCACAAATTTCTTATGAATTATTGATGAATTTAAAGTTAGTATAGTTGCGACGCGACGTCCAAGTCATTAAAATTATTCTTCTTTTTTGCTATTCTATGTTCTTTCGCACAGCTTAGTGGTACATATCCCTATATAGTATAACACTGATTGTCGATCTTGAAATAATTGGGTAAATATGTACCTTAAAGTGGACATATTCTTAAGCTTTCTTTTTTATCACATTATTGATAGATATTTAATAAATAATGCGGAAAAATTTTTTCTTTTAATTTATTTGATTTGATCGGCACAAACTATAAGAGCAAACGCTGAATGATATCTTTGTTACGAATGACAGTAAATTATATTTTCTTACTTGATTTTCCATTTATTCAAAAGATCAAAATAAACAATTTTGTTGATTATAGTTAAATTTAAAAATCTTTTTTCATTTAATTATTAAGCTACGTCATAGATTGGGCCATGAACAAGTATTATTGTATTATGGTCCATATAATGATATTCAGTTGAAAAACTAAATGTAAGACCATAATACAGCATATATCACAAAGATATATCATAAAGATGAATTTCACATATGAAGTGTTAAGAATTCTTATTTGTTAATCAATCATTTTTTCAAAATATCAAGTAATATCTAATAAAACTTATAATAAATAATAAGTACCATTTCTATTTATCAGCAAATTACAGTTTCTTTTAATATTTTTCCATAATTATGTTAAAGGCCTATTAAAATTTGGCACAATGAAATTAATAAGTGAAAATTACATTTGTTCATTACAAATCGTTGTGTAACCAATTTTTCATATTATTTATTACTATTTTTATGATAGATACCATATTTTTTAACAACTATGTTACAAAATTTGCTATTTAAATGATGGAAATTTCATATAACATTTGTATTGATTAAAGTATCTTTACATAAGCATTCCCAAACTTGATATTTATCATCAGACTAAATTTTTATTCAATACAATGTGTATGAATATATACAACTACGATCATCTTTTGATCAAGGTAGAGTCAGTAATATCTTATAATTCGTTTTTAGTGATTTTTAATTGCTCTTTATGTCATAGTTCACTAATTTAAAAGCAATACTGTTTATTCAAATGCTAATACTAAATACTAATATAAAGCAATTTTTTATTATAAATGTATTGAAGACATTGCATTTATTTAACTAAATACTAATATAAAGCAATTTTTTATTATAAATGTATTGATAAATTAGCAAACAAATTTTAAATATTTATATCTTTACTGTAATATTATTGTTCAATTTTGTTACTATTATAAATATAAAATATCTTTTTTATTAAGTGATTTTGGAAACTCAGCACTGATATAAATGTAACCAAGCTACTGTAATATTAATTAGAGCATTAAATTATGACCTCTCTTAATTCATATAAATTAAATATTGTCTTTTATTTTACTATTCATATAGTTTTTGCTCCAGCTGTATGCTGAACTTATATTTATTAATACTGTTAATCATTGTATTTCTAAAAAAGTATTACGATTTTTGGAACTGCATACAACTATATATTATTGATAATATTATTTTTTAAATAAAATAATTACGAATTTTGATTGGAATAATGTTGATTGGACGTAATTGCTACTGTAATTAATTTTCAGAAGAAAAAAATCATTTTAATATATTAGTGGTTTAAAAGAAAACACAGAAATGTAAATTGCATTACTGTTTAAAATATCTAAAGAAATTTTTTAAAGAAACTAAGGATCCAATTACTTCTGTTATTATAATAGTATATGTTATTATAATAGTATTACTACTGTTATTATAATAGTAAGCATTTAGTTTAAACTTTTTACTTATTTTTTATAAAGCTTGTTTGTTTATATATAATAAATTTTTAACATTTTCAATTGAAGTTTTCTACTATCTTTTATTAAATTTAAGAAGTATAACTATTAAAGTGTTTTAGTATTTACATTAAAAACAAAATATTTTTGTAATCAAATAATTTTTCAAAAGAATATTGACTATAAGACCTGAAAGTTCGATGCTAAATTTTAATCGAAAATTATTTTCTGTTATACATTACTTCCGCGGATTTTTATAGAAACTTAATATATTGACTTATTCTCATTTATAATATATCAGAATAATTTAAAATTATGGGAAGCAATTAGAATACTGAAACTGTACAAAGATAAATAATGTATATTATTATTTTTAAATTATTTGTTTTCAGTTTTTATTATTTCTTGCTAGATTTATTATATATTAAATTAATTCGCATAATAGTGCAATAGAAGCTATTTATAAAAAGTTTAAATTTTATTATAATTTCACTTTTTGTCAAAAATTCTTTGTAATTCATTAATGTATTATCATTTTAAAAATTTATTTAATTAAAATATTAATTTTAAAAATAAAATTTTTAATTTTAAAGATTAAAAATGTTCATGTTTGTTCACATCAAAACTTACATGTAAATTTTGGCTGAGATATTTCCTCCCTTTTCTCTTCAAAAAGAAAAGTTTTATTTTACAGTCAGCGTATGTTCATAAGAATTACAGTAATTTAATTAAATAACACCATTCGATTGCGCTAAAAATTGATTTAAAAACTTCGATTTGAAAAAATAAAATAAATAAATTACCGACAAATGACTTATACTGCTTACTACTATAATAATAAATTATTTATATATTTTTTAACATATTTGGGAATGGAATTCTTGAGAAAGATTATTATTTAAAGTAAAATAACCTCGTAAGTGGAAAACTTAATTATGTAAGTGTGTGAAATTTGCTCGGTTGATGAGTTAAAACACAGTAGCTTGTGCTTCCCATTTGATATATGATTGTCTAGTTTGATTATTCTGTAAATATAGTAATATAATTCCTTAATTTTAAGTATCTCGAAATATTGTTATTATGTATTGTTTATCAAATATTTTGTTTTATTGCAAAATACTTGGTTATTGAATATTCGAAAATTAAATTAAAGATTAAAAATTAAAAAAAATTAAGTAATAAGATTATACAAAATATGCAGCTAATTAAAAAATTAAAAGAAAAGTAATTATTCATCGTTATATATACAAATTTATAAAAGCTGATATCATTATTCACATAAATTAAATACTATATTGTAAATAAAATTAATTTTATTATGAAATCTATGTTAAAATATCATTGATACTATATATTATTTATATTACTTTAATACTAAATTGGTCGCTTATAATATACATAGACAAATATTTGTGCAGTATATTTTCATACTGTTTTGTACTATTAATTAACGAATTAGGCTTTTTTATAAAAAAATTTTAAGTCATTTTTCAAGTATTTGAGTTTCTTTAATAATTATTTTTATAGTGAATTATTAAACGTTAAATTTAAATAAGAGGGCATGCTGAATAATAAATTAAAACGTGAAATACACCGCCTCTAGCACTTCTTAACGTATTTGAGTTTCTTTAATAATTATTTTTATAGTGAATTATTAAAATAAACTATTTCAAATATTGAATAAACGCTATTCTTGAATGAATTATTGTATTTAGTAATTGATACTAATTGTGTTTTTTATCTGCTTAGACCCTCAAATCTGGATTTTTTTGTTAGGGTTGATATATTGGCATAATGTAGCTAAATGGTAATGAGACCTAATATATTAAGTTCAAAATTTTCATTGTTTTTAAAATTAATTAAAATTAGTGATACAAAAAATATGTAACTTATGATTAGTTGTATTTTGGAATGTATCATTTGGTATTTTCATCAATGTTTCTATTCTTTATACGGTAAAAAATTAATGATTTGTTAATTATATATTGCTTCTAATTACATAATAAAATCGTATATTTACACTTTTTCCCTAACTTTTTCCCTAACTTTTTTTGCTAATTAATTTTATAATTAATTTTTAATCAACAAGATTTTTCATGATTTTTGATTTTCTAACTTTTTCCAAATATAACTTTTATATTTTAATTAGATTTTAAAATTTATTTTATTTATTTAATAAATTTTCATAAAATTTCACTTCTGATAATCTATGGGAACTGTCGTTATCTACGCGATTAAAATAGTTAATATTGATTTAATATTCCACTTCTAAATATAAAATATTTTACTCACTATCTCTATTTTCTTACATTAATGTTGTGATTTGATGAAGATAAAAATATTGTTTTCCATTAAATATTTTTAGTAATTTATGCGGTTGTTTATCTTCTCGTTTTATTTTTAAATTTTATAGAAGTTATTTTAATAAATATATTGATAATTTTTTCATTTCGATATTTCATATTAATCGTATTATATAATCTGAATTATTTATATATATATATATATATATATATATATATATATATACTAATATTAATAATAATAATAAATAGTATCTCAACAAAATGTTACTTAATTTACTTAATTAAGTTAATCCATATTTTTGATAAATTTTGTTAATTTAAATCTATTTTAATTTAAGTTAAATTTTTAGAAACTTAGCATTAGTTTTACAATTAGTTAGAATTTACACTGATAAATTTTTATAAAATTATAATTTAATGTTAAATGTTTTGTGAAATATCATTATAAGAATTTTGATATCAATTGACCAAATCAATAATTCAGTTCATTATTTTGAAGATTTTCCAATTTTTTTAGCATTTGAAAGCTACCTCTTTTATAATAGAAATTTTTATAAAATTCAGTTCATGGAATCCATTTAACCATTTTTTGTGTGATGCAAATTGCAGAGTTGGTAAAATGCCAGAGATAATCTCAACTTCGGATATTTCTTTAATAATTCTAATTTATTTTTTTTTAATTTAACATTTTGGGAGAAAAGAATGCTCACGTAAATCGTACTTTCAATTATTAATTTATTCACTTTCAATTGTTTAAGTTTCACTGATTAGTTTATTATTTTTATTGGTTTTTTGCATCTATCGCTGAATTAAGAGGATTTCTAATGAATTTACCTATATTACATAATATATTACTTTTTAAAGTTTTAATTATAAACAAGATAAATATGTATTAAATAGTAAGACAAAATTACACTGCTTAGAAAAATATATGCGTTAAATTTTAATAACAGCATATTTTTTAATCACAATGTACCATTAATTAAATTTTGAAAAAATTGTAAATTACAAGTTATATGCGTACAAAATAACAGAAATATTTTAAATAACTAGTTAATAATATGTTAGTTTCTGTGTATTATAGCATATTACGCGATAGAAATATTTAAACGTAATTTTTTAAAGGGACTATAATGTATTTCCATTCTAGATCTAAATTATTAAATGAATTACTTGAATTAAACAAATAATATTAAGATCCATCTATGTTTTTTTCAATTTACTTTTCTTTATAAAATATTAAAAATTTACGAAACAAAGAAAAGTTTTAAAGTGTTATATGTGTTTTAAGTACTTTAAAATTAATAACGCTTCTTTAATTTTTATGTACATGTCGATGAAGAAAGTTTTTATTAATTAATAGTTTAATATTATAATTTTTAAATAGAAGATATAATTATATAATTTATTTCTTTAATAAATTGAAATAAATGTATATAATAATCGTCCGTTTTAGATCAATTATTAATTAATGGTCTTATTATATAAAAGAATTAATATACGCATAAGCATAATATTAGACAGTTAAAATACTTGTTGACATATTCATTTTATTACTGTTTTTACTGTGAAATATTGTTTTATGAATTACCAAGTAAGAGCTGCTCAAATAATTTTATACTTTTAAATATTAATAATTAATTATAATAGTCTTTGGTAATGAAAATTTATAATTCATTTATATATCAATTATTTAATATAATTGATTATTAAATCACACAATTTAAAAATGTCCACTTTCATTTAAAAAGAAATATATATATATATTACATATTTCATCAAGAACGTGAGTGAAAATTTAATCACTTTACATTTATTAAATAAACTACTTAATTATAATAATATAATGAACTGAAATTTACATTTATATAATATTTTAGGTGTTTAAATTTAAAGCTTGTAATATTTTTATTATGCATTAACATCTTTCTTACTCTTGTTTTAAAATATATTTTGCATAAATTAAAGTGCATAAATTGTGAGACTTATTAAATACAATAGTTTCAACTTTTTAGTTTAAGGTTGCATCTCGGCTAGATAAATACAATGGCGAGCACCTCCGAGAAGACATCTGCAGCTAAACGTGCTGTGGATAAGGCTGCGCGCAAAGCTGAAAAGAAGCTACAGCAGCAGCAACAACAACAGCAGCAGCAACAGGAGGCTCAACAGCAGGCTAACAGTAGAACCGAGGGCGGCAAAGTTGCACATGAAGAACAAATCCTCGAGGCCATCGATCAGCTTCGCCGGCGGAAAGCTCGTCCAGACGCTGACCGTATCTGCAATTATTTACTGCGAAAATTCTCAGTGGATGCACGTGATACCATCGCTGATCTCCACCGACTCATCGAGGCTGAAAAAGTAATACAGGTAGACTATAAGGGCAACACCAGCTACAGAAATGCCTCAAAATGGACGAGATTACAATTATATAAAAATAGGCCCGAGGGCTTCGTTAAGGAGAAGATCAATTCCAACATGGTAGCAGGCGCCGTAGCTGAATTAGTTGTCGAAGAGCCGGATTATCTCGATCAGGGTGTACCAGCTTTCAGGTTTGTTTGTCTTATCCAAGTTCCTGAATTAATTTATTACATCAAATAGTATAATGATATTTAAGTTTAGAACTCGTTTTAATTTTTACGTACATTTAGAAATGACATTTCAAAAATTTAATAAATATTAATAAATATGTGACATAATACAAATGTTTAATGTTACAATTTTTTATTAACATTTTCTAAAAATTGCAAAATACATTTTCTAAGTATTTATGAATAATGAATATAAAATTCATTTTATTAGATTTATTTTGTGAGATCCTCGAATGGTTTTCAGAAATTAAAAAATTAAAAGATATACTTGCTATTATAATATATTAACAATTAATAAAAATATCCATTATTTAGATTTATTTGCCCTTTTAATATGGTTTCGTTATATTTTAGAATAAATAATTAACATAAATAGTATATTTTTAATTCATTTCTTTTTAAATTCATTTTTATAAAGCTTCGCCTTTCAAAGATTAATTAAAAATTATTAGGATTATTTATTATTTTTGTTGTATATTATATATCAATGCAACTGTTAAAACAGTACACGTATATTGTTTGTAAACTTTACACACTTCCCAAAAATATAGCAATGAATTTTAAAATATGTGTCTATTATAGAATTAGTTAATAGTTTCATTGATATATCCACTATGCACTTTTTAATATAATATAAATTAATTATAGGCTTTTTATAGAAAGAGACGTTTTCTTCATTGATAGTATTCTGAATTTTGAATTAATTTTATTACATTTACTCTATTAACTCTATTTACTCTATTTTAATAAATAAGTTATAGTTTTCTGGTTTATTTTAAATCATGAAAGTACTTTTTAATCTAAATCATTTTATTTGAAGTTAACACTGCACTAATATATTCAACTTTTATAGATTTTACTATATTATGTAATGTTCATATTCAAATATTTATATTTGAATAATTAAAATTGAAGTTGATTTTCGGATTTTTTTGGTACTGAAGTAATTTCATAACAGAACACTTTGAAAATTAGTTACACCGTTACAATGTATTCCAACACAATTGTACTTTGTAGGTATTTAAATATATATTACACATCAGCCATGCATATTACTCAAATTTTCTAATTTGGTACACTATTTTCAACAAAACAATGTTTTATGATCTAGGCCTATACAAATATTAAGCTTTTATCATTTTTGTTTACTAATTTTTAAATATTTTTTCAAAATTACTCGTTCCAGTAAATTTTAATTAGAGTATATACCAGATTTGCCCGTAAATTATGATTTAAATCTATTTGACAGAAAATTACTTCGATTTATAAATAAAGATTATCTTCTACTACAAATATTTTTACGCTAAAAAGCTCTGTATTTATTTTCATATTTTTTTAATTTATATTTCATTTGCATAAAAAATCATTAATAATATATTTATATATAAAGTCCAAGAATTCTATCTATATTAGTAGTTATTATCATATATATAATTATTTAAATAAAATTAGTATTAAAGAATATTATAATATCAAAATAATAGATTGGCTGAGCTTACCCATAAATCTTAAGAACTACTTGAGTGAAAAAGAAAAATGTTCTATTTAACATTTTGAGGCTTGTTTTAAATGCATAACTTTTTATTTTTAAATCTTTCGTAATATTTAATATATTTATGTTCTTTAATATTATAATATAAAATACAGTTGTACTATTGAATGGCATCATTTTTAAATTATCACACACAGCAATGTTTAAATTTAACCTCGCTGTATTAAATTCTATCATATGTGTTCTTTATAATTAATACTCTGTTTTTACAAGTACCATTTGAAAAGTGGCACTTTATGTCTTTTAGTGACATTAGAATTTTATTTTTTGAAATTAATTTATTTATTTTAATGATTTTAGAGTCTTCCGATGTTTTAATTAAAATTTCTCAATTTAAAATTTTATTATCTAATTATTAATTTTCTTCTAACATAATTTTTCAAATTTTTATTATTTTTATTAATAATATAAGTGTTATGTTACACTATTTGTGCAAGTTACCAAGTTATCAGGCATCAGGAAGATAGATTGTTTTAATAGTAATCCATTTCTTGAATTTGAAATGTGTTAATTGTTATTATGAGATTGTGAATTTTCTGGTTGTCATCAATCTTATATCGAGGCGAATTACTTAACTCAAAAAAATGATTGGTATTTTTATTTCAATATTATTAGTTATTTAATATATTGTTTCTTTAAATATAAATAGAATACTCCGTACCCTAGATTTTAAATTGTAAGATTTGATTATTCATTTTTTTTTACCGAATCGTAATTTATAAAGTACTTATCTGTTTGAATCCTAGTATGCATCACCACATTCAGCTTCTGCCCATAAAAAGCAAAACTGTGAATTTATTGTAATGTTTTTAGTAATTGATTTTTAATTTCATTAATTAGGTAGTGAGTAATAAGTTATATATTTAATGTTATGTAATAGTTGAATTTATACAATAATTTATATAATATAATCATTATATAATTAGAAACTTGATATAAAATGATATTTACTGAATAAAAAATTTATTTACAATTTGTCGGAAAAAATGATAAATGAATTTCAATATTAAAAGAAAAAAATTTTAAATAATATGTTTTGCTTAAAATTGGTTGATTTGTTAATTTAAATTGTTTTGTATTTTATGTTTATTACAATAATATAATATAGTTTCAATTTTTGTAAAAACTATTTCTGTATACATTAAACTGTATATTGACAATGTTTATATTCACAACATTAGTAAATTAATTCTTATATAATATTACATTTGAAATTGTTTTAAATTTATTGAAATTACTGATTTATTATTTAACTAAAAATAGTATAAGTATTCGAAAATTAAAAAACAAATATTTAAAATTATAATGTTTATAAAGAAAATTTTTAGCCTATTGAAATCGTGATTTTTTATTTTAAGTGTTGCTTAGTTTGTTTCGTTATCGGCATTACTGAAGTATAGTAATAAAGTATATTTTTTATTGAAAATGAAAAATTGACAAACGATTTTAGGATATACACACTTTCATCAATTTTATTGTATATTAATTTTGTTAAGGAATTATTTACTATTAATTTAACGATTCACAATTGATTTAATATTAAATATAATAATGCAATTAATAAATATATAAAATATATAATCTTTTTAAAATCGTTTTTATAAAAAGTATTTTATAAAAATATAAAATACTTGCAATGTGTACATTTATTTGTAAATTATATTTAAACTCAAATAACTTCAATTTAATATGGATTACTTATTGAATTTTCACAATGAATACTGTAATTATTCCTCTTATTAAATTAATTATCGCTTTATTGTCATCGTTATCTTTTTTATTAGGATTAAGAATGATTTTTTTTATTAAAAATGTATACACAAACTATAGATATAACTATACTGCAATAGTTTTTGAATTTAAACTTTTAATTTAATATTTTTATTAATAATTTCAATGTAGCATAAATTTTAATTTTCTGAAGAACTAGTTATTTTTATACATTATTATAAATTATTTACTTGGCATAATTATAATGGATTATATATTATAATAATTCAATTGTCTTTTTAAGAATACGTATTTTTACTATTTTTACTCTTGTTACTAAACTGTGTTGTATATATATATACATATGAACAGAGAAAGAGAGAGAGAGAGAGAGAGAGAGAGAGAGAGAGTATTTGTAGCTAGAATCTTAAACTCAATTTTATGTTGTACATTGTTATAATTTTTAATATTGCCTGTTAGTATTGATAGGAATAAATAGTACATATAAAAAACTTTTAGACCTCAATATTAAATTTAATCAATATTTAAATTGTTATATTCATAGAATTAACCTAATTAATATCGAATAAAAAGTGGATACGCATAATTATATATAAATAGATATATATATTTCCTTTTGTGTGTATTTGCTTGCGTGTGTAAAATTAACCTATATTAATGCTAGATAAAACGTAAATATATATATATATATTTATATGTGCATATGTGTACAATGTAAGCTGAAAATATTTGTGAGTTTGCATTTTTTTACAATAAAATAGAAGATATTTAAAGTTTTGGTTTCAGCTTACTGTGTTATGTATTACATATGCAAGGTTAGAAAGTTGTAAGATAAAATGTAAGTTAATTATTTTTGTAAAATAACAAAGAATTATTCTTGTATATATTTAGATCGAGAAACATAATTAGTTTATGAAATAGGTTATGTTTAATTGAAGTATGAAAATTATGTAAAAAGTCAAGCATAAGTATTTATAATTTTTAATTTAGAAATTATTAATTTATATTTCTTATCTATTTTTTATGCAATTAAAATATTTAAGTTTGCTCACTCAAGCACATATTATTTCGAACTGTTTTAAAATATTTTACCAAAAAAAAATTAAAATCATAGAATATTACATTATTATTATTATCAATTTTATTATTGTGATTCGTTAACTATATCATATTTTTAGGTTAATTGAGCAGTTACTAGATGGAGTTTCAAATCCAACTTCTCGTCGAATGGTTGAAGATTTCTTAGGCAAGGAAGTTGCTAGTGGTAATCTGGCAAGACTATCCAATGGCAATTACTCACTTGTTGATGGTAGCAATATGGGCAGCAATGGGGCTGTTGCATCTCAGCATAATGGTGATATCGTTTCTAAAATAAAAGGTTCTAGTACAACAACAACAACAACAACAACAACAACAACAACAACAACAACTTCTTTTAAAGCAGCCAGCAATCCATATGATTTAAATGAATTTGAGGAGTTTGCAGAAGAACATGATTCTAGTTCAAATGTAGTCAAGTCATCTAGGCAAACTAGTCCAAAAACAGATTTAGAACCTATGAAGAAAGAAGATTGTTATGAAATTATTGTTGGAAGAAGGCAAATAAATGATGATGAAAAAAATCAGTCCAAGGATAATGGTTAGAAACAATTTAAAGTATTTGAAAATTAATTTAATTATTGATTAGGATTTTTTATGATTGAAAATTTTAATAAAGCAGTCAAATAAAAGTTAAATAATTTTTCTAATACTTTTACTCTTAATACTTTATTTTCTAATTTAAATAGGAAAACTTGATAATGGATGTCGAAAAGAAGATAATGTTAAACACAATGGAAGGACATTAAGTTCTCCAAATATAGAAAAAGAATTTAAAAATACAACAGATGCACAATCTAATCATAAGAAGTCTAAAACTGAGAGAAAGCAGAGGCTGTGTGTGAGAAGTGACGATTCAACAGATTTAATTTTTAAATATGAAGATTATAGGAAAGAAACTAATTATAAAGATGAGTCAGATAAAAGGGATGATGGGAATGATAGACTTAGTGAAGATGGAGATGGAGATCAGGATGCTGGTAGAAGTTCGACAAATCCTTCACCCACTCCATCTAATAATAACGCTGGAAGTTTTCGAAGTGCTAGAAGAAAAGTAAATGATCTAATATGTATATATATATATATATATATAATGAAAAATGGATATATAAATAATTTTATAAACAGTAATTTTTTGTTTATGCTAATAAATGTCTTTTTTACAGAGAGCAAAGAAAGTATTTGATCCATCAGATAACATGGTTGTAAAAAGAAAACGAGGAAGACATGCGAATATTACAAAAACATCATCTAATTCACAGCAAGATTTACAAGATTCTATTAAACCTATTGCTGTAAAAGAAAGTCCTAAAGATCCTAATAGACATTGTAGTTTGTGTTCTAAGGATAAGCAGGAATCTCTTATAGCATGCCGCGATTGCACCGTAAGAGGTACGAATTAACAATTTTTGTTTATATTTTATATAAATATTTTGTTTATATTTTACATTTCTCTTATTATAGCACATCCATCTTGTATATATACTGCAGACGAAATTGTTCATAAAACGCATACAAGCTGGCAATGTGAGCGTTGTAAAACTTGTGTAGTTTGCTATGAAACTTCAGACGCGGTATTTAAAATTTTATATATATTTTAATTAGAATATTTTAGAAAAATAAAAATATTTCTTATATTTAAATTTATAGGGTCCTTTGGTGACTTGCTACAGTTGTGATGATGCTTATCATTATTCGTGTCTCTCTCCTCGTATTCCTATTTCAAAAACTAAATGGTATTGCAATGATTGTAATCAAAAACAATTTAAATCAACTAACCAGAACTCAAATTCTAATTGGACTAATAATTCTTCTGAACAACAATCAAATAGTATTTCAATATTACCACCAGTTTTAAGCCCGCAAGTTTCACCCATTAGAAACATGCCAGAGCATATAGATGATGATACTTTAAGAGATGTTATAGATCCAAATATACCAGATGCATCTGATTGGACTTCAGAACAAGTTTATCAATACTTTGCTAGATTGTTTCCAAAAGAAGCAGAAATATTCAGGCATCAGGTATATTTTAATATTTTTTTAACTAATAAAAATATAAGTAAATTAATGAGTATCAAACCTATTTTTCTTCAGGAGATCGATGGACATTCATTATTACTTCTGAAACGATCCGATGTACTTGGGGGCTTAGATTTACTTCTAGGTCCAGCTTTAAAAATTTATCGACATGTGTTAAAATTACAAGTTCGAAGAGATGATCCTCGGCTTTATTGGCTTTAGAATTGGATTACCTATATATATATTGCTATGTCACCTGGTTATAATTGTGATTTTTTCATTGACAATGATGTTAATTAAGTTTGATTTATACTGTTCCCATTATTTTAATTAATACTCTTAAAACGAAGGTATTAAGCGTGTACATATTAAACCAAATAATTTAAAATTTTTTTATAGTATTAAGAAGTATTCAAAATTATGTTTGAAATAAATAGTACTCCAAAGATATTTGCTCTTTTATATCTTGTTGAAATAATCAGGGTACACAAAAAATTTTGTATTATATAAACAATTGTAAAAATTAATAATATAAGATTTGTGAATCTTGTAAGATAAAAACATTTTTCACCTAAAAATGTATGTTCTTTATTTATCAATGTCATTGTTATAATATAATACAATGTAATAAGTATATAACATATAATTTATATTTATATAATTAATCGTTTACAATTCTAAAAATTTATTAATATATTATAACATAACTAGAAAAAAAAACAAAAATTTGATATCACAACGTTTACATATCACATTTTATTTCAAATTTAAATAATTTAATAAAATATACTAACTTTGTAATAAAAATGAAACAATTGATTATATATTATTTTATATTATATTAAATATTTATAACTGTAATTGTACTACATAATTTTATATTATTTTTATTCAAAATTATTGATTTTTATAATGCAATAGATTTGTAATAGAAAACAAATTAAATTATAATATATTGCTTTATAATTGTTTTAATGATGGGATCATCATCGAGTATGGTAATACTATATTAATATCTATTATTTAGCGAACTATACAAATAATAGTAATGTATATATAATTTTATGATTAAATTACTTATACATATTAAGAATAATATTGATCACTCATAAGTACTATTAGTATTACTATCTATTGAGATCAAAGTTATTTTGAAATAGCTTATCGATTAAGATAATATTACTTACAATTATGTAACACAGACAAAACTACAGCCTAATATTTGTAATATGTTGTATAAGATTTTTTTTCATACAATAGATGTCTTTACAGAAGTATCATTCAATTAATATATAATTTGATAAAAAATTAAAATATTTTTATAATGTTTAAATTTAAAATATTGTTTGGTACATATAAATAGTATCACTTCTCACAATAAATGTATTATGTAATACTAAAAGTCATACCAGTAAGTTAATTTAGCATTTCATTAAGTGAAAAAAGTAATTAATTTTATGTTTATGAAACAAATCTAATAAAAATTTGATTCAATTAATCAACTTAATAAGATTATTTAAAGTATTTGTATTTTATAATAAAATTTATCAATAAATTTTTTTCTTCATTTTATAACTTTTTAAACTTGCAAATTGAGTTTATTTGTATCAACAACCTCACTATATTTAGGAGGTGGTTTTTTATGTAAAGGAGCCTCATCGGGTAGATATATTGTGACCTTATCTGGAATATTCGGGTTAACTAAAGTTATTTTTTCAGTAGAATCAGTTGATTTCTCTGGAGATAGACACAGCCACAGAGCTGATAGTGCTGCTGTAGCAATAGCTACAGCTAGCATCCAACGAGGTATTCCTGTATGTCGAGAAGCACACTGTAACCAATCGGATCCTGGTAGAGATGTAGACTTTTCATTTTCTCCCAAATATTCTGCTGATACACTGTAATCCATTGTCTATAAAATAAAAAAAATGATTGAATTGTAAACTGCATGTACATTATTACAATATATTGTAATAAAATAAACATTTTATTATAATTAAAATAAAATAAATACCTCTGAATCAATTGGAATTGTTTTAAAGTACGTTTTGGATAATTTGAATTCATTAGAATTCCACCATTCTGGTAACAATTCTTTCCCAAATACAGGATCATTTAAAATATCAGGAGACATTACCAGAATATTAGGACGTATACCATCTTCTATGTGTATAGTAATTGAAAAGGGCGATAAACAATTTATACGCTGAATTGCCATTAAAGCACAGCCAATTCTACAGGCTGTTAAATCTTGTTCAACTAAATATGCTTCAATACAAGCTAAATAAACAATTATAAATAATTTGTAGGCCTGATTAAATATAATTACAATATTTATTTATAAATTATCAATTGTGAGTAATATTAGATTTTTATTTTTAATTATTACTACTATCTGTGTGTATTAACATAAAGATTATAAATTTAAAAGAATATAGATTTAACTTACAAGCGTCACATGCATCCAAACTACTATTTAAATTATTAGGTTCTAATTTATGATGTAAATTTACTAAATTAAAGAACCTGCAACCTCTTTGACAGCACGTTATTGCACATTTTCTGTCTGGATCTAGTTCTTTCTATTATTAAATAAAAAAAAAATGAGTAATACAGTATATTATGTATCAATTTATTGTATTTAATTAAAATAAGGGAAAAAATTTTGTATAAAAATGATTAAATAAGTACAACCTCCTTGCATCCATTTAGGCACAGATCTTCTTGCTTCAAAATGTTGTAATATACCTCGGCAGAACTTAAACTTATTATAATCAATAATAATGAAAAGATCTCTTTATTTTTGCCCATGTTTGCAAATCTAGAAACTAGAAACTGTTTGAAATCTACAAAATTAGGTTATGTTTGATTTCTATATTTATTTATTATTATCTATGCGGTTAAGTTATGTATCCATATATAGTCAAAACAAACAGTATGTAATGTATTGAGAAAATCTTAATGCATCTTGTTGAATATAAATAATATACAGAGTGCTTGACGTGAGCCTAACAGCTAGACGTTTTATTTATTCTTAGTGTAATGACCAATCACGATAAAATAGTGAAGTAAGGTTAGTTTACAACCTTAATTAAGACTTCAGAGTTAAAATATGAGTTTTAAAAACGATTTTTAAGTAATCGAGATTCAAGACTTCGAGAATTTTATTTTAATAAAAATTCATCCATACAAATATAAATATGTTTATGCGAATGTGTATATATATATATATGCATATGAATAATCATATATGCATATACATGCGTAACATCGTTGTCATGTTTTTATATGCTTACGATAAATGTCATTGCTTATTAAATATAAATAATAAAAGTTGAAAATGTGATTACTCGAAAGGAAAGTCTCGAAAAACAATCGATTTATTCTTTTAAAATACTTCGATCATATTTATTTTATCGAGTAAATTAAATGAACAACCATTTCTCAATAAGTAATGGGATTCATTTTTGTCGACTGTTCTTGCGAAAAAAAATTTTAAAAGATGTTTCGAGTAATAAAGGTGTCATAAAATTCTTTTTAAAATCAACAATAAAAAGTTAAATATTTTATCCATTTATAAGAATATATCTTCGGAAAAGTGCATTTTATACAATAAGGAGTGGGAATCGAGATATGCCTTGGTCAATATTCGTCTCGATTAAGTTCGTGATCGTAGAATCCACAAGAATGGCGGTGCCGGTTTTGTTTTAGGTTAAAGGAATCGCGCGCTTGTAAAGTACGGTGCTATTCTTTTTTATTATCCATAAATTTGTCGTCTGCCTCGAGCGCGCCGTCTACTAAAAAAAATTATGGATATTTACGATCCGGACGAGGATGCAATCAATGACGAGATTTTTAGAGACCTTGATCCTGTTATGTGGACTCACCGTGAAAACAACTATGACCTGGACGATATTAACATGTTCTTCCACAGAGTTGACTCGGATCAAATTATCTACGAAGAAAAGAAAAAGTGTAAGTATATCGGAAAATACGTTATGGGTGATCTTCTCGGCGAAGGCAGCTATGGTAAAGTCAAGGAAATGCTGGATTCTGAAACTCTCTGTCGGAGGGCGGTTAAGATTTTAAAAAAGAAGAAATTAAGAAGAATACCTAATGGCGAAATTAATGTACAAAGGTTGGTTATGAGATATCTAGATAAATTGGATTTATATTTTTTAAGTTGTAGTTTAGTAATATAACAATATATTACAATTGTAATTTTACGTATAAGTATAAAATTGTAATCAATTGTTTATTTGAAATAATATTAAATAATTATACAATAGTAAATATTCAAATGAATATTAGAATTAAATAAATTTAATAACAAAACTTTTAAAGTTAAAATACTGTTATTTTTTAAGACTAAAAATATTTGATATACTTGTATTTTTTTTTACAAAACTTATTTTTACTACAGAGAAATACAGCTTCTCAAGGTATTGAAACATAAGAATATTATTGGCCTTGTAGACGTCCTTTATAATAATGAAAAGGAGAAAATGTATTTAGTAATGGAATTTTGTGTCGGTGGACTTCAGGTAAATATATTTAAGTTATTGATTTTAATATAATATTACTTGTTTTAAAGACAAATATTTGATAGGATATGTTAGAAAGTACTCCACATAAAAAATTTCCAGTTTGGCAAGCGCATGATTATTTTTGTCAATTATTGGATGGTTTAGAATACCTTCATAGCAAAAGTATAGTCCATAAGGATATTAAACCCGGAAATTTATTATTAATGCTAGATGGTACTTTGAAAATCAGTGATTTTGGTGTTGCGGAGGTATTGAGAATACTGTTTAAATTTCATCTATTGTTTGAATGATTTTTATTTATAAAATTGTTATTATAGTTAATGGCATAAAAATGTATTTACTTATATTTTTGTGGCCTTATAATTAATTTATTTCATACATTATGAAGAAATAAAATTTTTTTATAATCTAGGCCTTAGATTTATTTGCATTAGATGATACCTGTACAACTGGTCAGGGTTCACCAGCTTTCCAACCTCCTGAAATAGCTAATGGCTGTGAATCATTTGCAGGTTTTAAAGTAGATATATGGAGTAGTGGTGTTACATTGTGAGTATAACTTTTAAAGTACAGACACGATATTTTATAAAAATATCCAAGTACAAGTCAATTTTTAGGTATAATATAACAACAGGAGTTTATCCATTTGAAGGTGACAACATTTATAAACTATATGAAAATATTGGTAGAGGTGAATACACTATTCCATCTGAAGTAGATGATATGTTAAAATCTCTTTTACAAGGAATGTTGCAAAAGGATATAGATAAGAGATTTTCATTACAACAAATTAATATGTAGACCCTCAAAAACATTGGAGAGGGTACCAATTCCACCACTAAGAGGAGATGAATGGCACACTATGACTGTTTTACCATATCTTATGGAAAATCATTATGGAGCTGATAATAATCCTACGTATTATACAGAACGAGAACTTAATGGTAAGTAATTTTCCAAATCAAAATAATTCAGTTTCAAACATTTGGTGTGTATGAATAATGCACAAATTACAATATTTCATATATTATTTATTAAATTTTTGTATGGACAAAATAATTATGTATTAGCATTGCAAAGTTAAGAACGAAAAGTTTTCTCATTTGATTTTTATTTTCATATTTCATATTCAGGATTTCAAATAATATTTTTAAAAAGTATATTTCAACAATTATTGAACCTCACCATGTTGCATCTGATTCCATTGTCAGATACTTATTAATTATATTCCTCTAATTATCATCCTATTTTTATCGGTTACCAATTACAGGACTAATTCAAATACTATTTACATCATTCATGACAATATAAATTCATATAAATCTTATTTAAATATATCAATTCATATTAATAACATTCTTGCATTTCAGCTCTAATATAGAAATTATATATTTGTAATATATTTGTTTATATTTGTAATATAAATGTTGAGTAATATGAATTAAATAGAAATATACTTCTTATAATCATGATATTGAGTATGCATTATTTTTAGAGGATAGAAAACATAGTGAAAAGGAGATGAAAAATCTTGAACTGAGTCATCAAAATAAATCCAGTAATCAAGAAAGTGGTAAATCAAGATGGCAAAAACCAATATCATGCATCAATGTTAAAAAATTTTCATCATGCAAGCCATCGTGATTATATATATTGATAGACTATACAATTTTATACTCAAATTTTGATGATAGTGACAGCTGTGAGTTATTTCTGTATTGAAAATACATTCAAAAGTGTCTGAGTATTATGTATAGTTCCAGAATCTCTATTGTAAAAATAATTATTAACACACAAATTTTTATCCAAATTTAAGAAAATCATAAATATTGTAAATGCTTTTGTGATATTCATGTACAGTAGATTAAACTATAATGCTTCTTTAACTTACAGAATTTTGTGGAATCATGAAATGTTCTAGGATTTTTATAAAATTTAATAACGAAAGTCTTATGTATGGTATTATTATCTGCAATATTTTTTATTTGATAATTATATATTAAATTTTTCGAATTTTTTAATTCATGTTTTTACCATATTTAAAAAAAAGAGAAAAATTATTCAAAATAGAATTGTAAATATAACGTAATTACTGTATATATATAGTCAACATTTTTTTAACACATTTGTTATTAATTTTATGTAATGATTTTTTATTTTTTATATGTAAACAGATATAATTTTTTTTTCATTTTTAATTTTTTCATTTTGAAACAAAAAAATATAAATCAATTTCTTCAATAATAATTTCTTTTTACTTATGCAATTAGAAATCTAAAAAGTTTGGTTTAACTTAATTTTTTTAAATGTAGCATTATGTTTATTTTTTGCTACATTAATGCATTGTATTTAATAAATCATTTTAATGTTTGTATGCAAAGTACAAGAAATATATTATAAAATGTGAAATTTTAATGAAAGTCCAGAAGTTCAGTATTAATAGATGGTATGAAAAATTGTGTAAATAAATTTGACATAAATATATGATGGTATAATAAATTGTATGAATAATAATAAATTCTCAAAATAATAATTTAAGATCAGATTAGATTTAAGATTTTTTATAATGAACTGGTAACAAAAGTATTTAAGATAAAATACAAGGAATAAGAATAATAAATTGAAGTTTGAAATTTATTTTAATGTTTAAGATAAAGTTGGGTGACCATGCCATTTGAATGAAAAATAATCATGATTTTGATAATAAAATCGCAGAGAAAATTAAACTCAATACAAATACTAAACTTTAAAAGATAATTTTTGAAATATCTTTCGAAAACAATAGAAAATTCAATAATATATTATTGGTATTGATGGAATAAACAATTTTTTTATTAATGATAAGAATAATTGTGTTTCATAGTCAAAATGCAATATAAAATGATAGAAATCCAAATATGTTTAAATTATGTTGATCTGAATATTATATATCTTATTATCATTACAATGTAAGTTAAAAATCTTAGATAACGTAATATAAATTATTTATTTTAACAATGAATAATGTAATAATTTGTAATATACATATGCACACATACACATACATTGTTGATTTATCACGGAAAAACTGAGTAAGATAGAAAAAAGAAAAATATATTGGTAATTGTACTTATAAAATAATTAAAAAATTATATATTACTATAAATGTTACAGCATTAGCTTAATTTATTGACAAGTTACTCATCTTATTTACAAAATTGTTATATTTGTATTAAAGTTCAAAACTTAAGAAAAATTCTTATTTTGCGACAAGAAAATCAATTGTTTAAATGTATATATCATAATTAAAAAAAAAAATGTAAATTATTATTTAAAGTATTATGAAGAAATTATATTTTGAAGATGACAAATATATGTAATTTGAATGTATTTTCATTATTTGCATCTTTAAGTTTGTTTAGAAATGTAATTATTGTAACATATATTTTTATCAAAACAGAAAAGAATGTGCCATATAATTATTTATTACATTTTATTATTTAAATATAATGCTATTATGCAGAAGACGAAAATAAAGTAAAATTAAACTGAATTTTAATAATGAAGTTTCTTATTTTTATTTTCAATATTTATAACCATTTTAATCCTCATAAACTTGATAATAACAATGAAATTAACATTGACTAATTAAGTAAGTAGTTAAACAAATTTTATTTGAACGTGAATAAGTATTTAATTCTAATGGAATCTAAATCAATAAATAATATGCATAAATAACATTTCATTTTAGTATTAGACATTTATTAGATAGATATTTAAAGATATAATCTAACATTAATAACGATAATTAAAAACATACACATAATTTATATGTTTATATAATTAATTTAATTTTTATTAAAATCTTATTTATGTTATATATTACTTAATTGAAAAAAAAAATTAAAACAAGATACATACAAATCAACATAATGAAAATAAATGGAAAATAATTTGATACCAACTAGCTTTTATAATGTCAAAGTAAAAATTTGAATATGTATATCATAAAATAATAAAATTTTGATATAACTAATGGAATGATTTATTGTTTTGAATATCAGTAGACAGTAGCTAATATAAGGTATTATTAACATTTTATGTTAAAAAGAACAATCTACAAAAGTTCATAGTTTAAGAATAAATACAGTATATAATGTTAAAAAAAAATTTTGTGGGTGCAAAAATGCTAGAGTTTGACTTCACCCAGATAACAATATAATTAAAAAATTATGAAAACTGCATATAAGCGACTTCAAATTATGTAAATCTTTTTTATCCTAATATTTTTTTTTTATTTAACAGTTATATTATCAATATGAACAATATTTTATGAGTCGTTTAATAATAATATAAAGTAAAAATAAATAATATGTAATTTATTACATTAAGCTACAGTAAAATTGAGTACTAAATGAATATTTAGATAAATATTTAGATAATAGATTACTTTTGAGTCGTATATATTTTAACGCTGTACATTTATCTTTTAATCTTATTTATACAGATCTATTCTTTTCAAGACTTGATCAACAAGTAGTGATTTTATTTAATATATTTTTTAATGAACTTCATATATTTAAACGACGAATTAAATAAATCAATAAATGTGAGATATTTGTTGGTGGTGTAATTAACTCACATTAATTATTCTTGTCTAACCAATATAGTTAGACTAAATAATAATATTATAATAAAGAATATTTATTATTCAATCCTATAATGTAATCGATTTGTTAGGATTGTATTCTGGTTATTGATTATTATTTGTGAAAGCCAAGTTATTGACTAATTATACTAAGCAATGTTGTTTTACTAATACAATTGTATATACTTCAGATTCACTAAACGAATATTAAATGAAACACTATAGATAGTAAGTGCAGTTTATTCAAGACCTCCCTCTTCCTCTAGTTTTGAGAGAAATTTTATTACCCGATAATTTGGTTCTACTTGTCGTGTCATATCTAACAGACCGAGAAGCTTCTTAATTCCAATAAAGACTCTGCAATAAATAAAAAATAAAAATTTTTTATTGATTTATTAAAGAATAAAATACAAATTATGAAGTAAGAATTATTTATTTTGTATATATCAAATAAATAAATGAAATATTACATTACAATTTTGTTTACTAATATTATATTTATATTACATATAGAATAAAAAAGCATGAATTCTAAGTAACTATAAATTTCTTTTTATTTTATTTTTAGATATAAATTATAACCAAATTTTTAGAATAATAATAGTTTATTTATATATTAAATTTCTTCATAAATTTATATTGAAAAGTAAACCAGTATGTTGAGAATAGAGATACATATTAACATTTATATAAAACTGAAGAGGGAAAGAAACAAAAATTATTGAATTTTTATGAAATTAGGCTGACTTAAATTATTCATGAATAAAATAACTTAAAAGTGAATAATTAATATTGTAAAAAAGTTGACAAAAAAGAATTTGATGGTACGATACAATGTTTTTTTTTTATCAAAATAGTATATAGTATGGTTGTTACAAGAAATTTCAATATTGTTTTTTTAAAGAAATTTGAGACCATCACGATATGTTCAAAATAGAATCATAGATTAATTAATGTTATAAAAAGAAAAAGGTTGCTGTCCCTTCGAACATATAAACATAATGAAGTAAGCTATAAAAAGGTTAAGATACTAAATGTATGGGGATAAGTTGAATAACATGACTTTTAAAAAATTATAAAGATAAGATTTTTTTGTTCAGTACTAAAGTTAATGTTTCTAAATAAAATTACATTTTTAAATCATTATGTCAATTAGTATTAAATTAAATATGCTTAAAGAAATGATATTAAGACAGTCACTTGTTTAATGATTAAGAGAACTATTTAAATTTATGAAAAGTTTATCTTATATTTTATGAAAGTGAGTTATATAGTACAAAATATAGGTTTACCGTTTTCCATAAAGTTTGGAATAAAGAGATGACATTTCTTCTTTTGTAAAAAGATCAACTTCTTCCAATACTGATAAGAGATGGTCTGAAGTTGATAAATTGGGAACATGAAGTACAGTACTGAATGCTGTAATTAATTCCATATCTTCTAAAACTTGCCTGTAAATGAAATAATTTATATGAAATAAAATTATTTGAACTTGTCGATAAAGGAATAATTCTTTTTAAAAATTGGAATGAATGATACATTGATAGATAAATTTTATAATAATATCTGATTCGTCTAGACTATAAGATTGTTTTAAATCAAGCTAATTTTATTATTTACGTTTTAAAAATTATTCTTATTTTTTATGATTTTTTGATATTCATATATCGTTGATTAAGTATATATGTAAATATATTTCGAGAAAATTTTAAATTTTAAACTTTCAGTTTAATTTACAATGGTTAGATTAAAATCATTGATTTGAAGGATGCAAATATAAGTATGAGAAATTGCAAAAAAATAGGTAGATGCAATGAGAATATTTGATGAGAAAAGTATTGAATCAAGGATGGGAGTATTTCCTTATACATATACATACATGCATATACAAAAAAACAAATTAAAAATTTCAATAGCATTTTCATTCATTTTTTGTATATATAAATACATATTTGTGCTAATAAATTGCATTAAAATAAATAAATTTTCATAAATAAGTGTTTTTTAAATTATTAATTAAATTATTATGCAATAATAAGTATAAATTTATTTTATTTAATTTTGTTCTAATTAATATTGGACATATTATTGACATAAAAAATAAGTAGTAAGTTTATAAACTACGTCTTTCGAATAGACTTTCTTTTTAAAAATATTAAGCTTACCTGCGACTTGTAGTACATAGAATCAATAGCTTTCTTCCACGGGGAGGTAACTTCTTTAGTAAAACTAATAAAGCTTGTAGAGTTAAGTTTGAATATCGCGGACCAATAGGTCCATAATCCAATAAACGCTCGATGTTATCGACTACAATACAACTGAGCTGCGAACGATAAGCATCGTCGAATATCTAGAATAACAAAAAATTAATTTAATAACTGTTAAACAATAAAAAATTGTATGACATTAATGCTCTTAAAACTTTAAATAATTAATATTTTCTCTTTTCAATGATTTTTTATCCTACAAGGCTTATATATTTGTTTGAGTTATATTTCGATATGTGCAATTCATAAATTAAATACAATTTAAGATTTGGTAAAATTGTTTTTAAAAGTTTATGAAAAATAATGCAATTTTTCTAGTCTTATAAAAGCAGAAGACAACAAAGATACTTACTTTTCGTATCGATAAGCACTTGGCAGACTCCGTGAAACCGACCATGTCTTCTGGTGTGCAAACTTTGACGAAGGGAAAGTCCGAAGTCTTGGCAATTTGGGCGGCGAGTGCAGTTTTGCCACTGTTTGGTGGTCCTTCCAAAAGAATTGACACGAGTCCTGAACCTTCTGCAGCTCGCGCCTCCTGAATATGGAGTTTTCCATCGGCAAGGATCTCCGCAACTGGTTTGCCCCAATTGATGATGCCTCGAAAAAGAAGATGCTCCAGCGCTTCAGCACTTGTTCCAAAGGCCTGGTATTTAAAATTTTTTATTTTACAGTTAAACAATAAATATTAAGTCGTTTAAAAAGTTTTGATATTGGAAAAAATAATTAAAAGTTGAAATTAACGAAAGCAATTGTAACTGAACCAATCCTAAAGAAGTTTTGTTTTAAACTATTTGAAATATAATGTAGATGAACAGTGTAGTAATATTATTAATAATAGTAATATTATAATTGAATATTCTAATACTATAGTACATGAACGGTATAGTATTTTATAATTATTTACAATTGATTTGAATTAAATTAAAAACAAAAAAACAAAAAATTTATTTCAAATTTATCAGTTCAGAAATATATATATATATATATATTTTTAATAAAATTTGTTCATGTATTGAATTATTTGTATTATAATTATTAAGAAATAATATTGGCTTTATAAAATATTATGTAATGATTTATTTTTCAAATATTTAATCTAATATTTTATATACATCATTTTTACACTTGTATATTTAGATTCAAAATCTATAAAGCAAATTGTTCAATAAATATTATATATTTAATAGTTTCTTTGTTAAATTAATGAATAAACTTACTGGCTTGATGTCATTTTCTAATGCATGAATGAAATCGGTTCTTGTCACCATGAGTTTTCCCATTGCAGCAGGGTCTACTTCTACTTTGCTAGAAGCTTTTATTAACCTATTCATAGCCGTACTTTGAGCAGCTCTAACTAAACCTTCTAGTTCAGCACCACTAAAATTTTTCGTCAATGTGGCTAGTTCTTTTAAATCTACATCAGGAGCTATTTTTTTATAATCTTTCATCCTTGTTGTATGAATATTTAAAATTTGATGTCTTCCATGTTCATCAGGAAGACTGATTTCCATTTGAACCTTTCATTACATAATTTATACAAATTTTAAGACTATGATAAATTTCATGATTTTAATTTATGTATTAATTATTAAACATTTACCTCCAATCTACCAGGTCGTAATAAAGCCTCATCAATCATATCTCGTCTGTTAGTCATCCCAATAACTAAAATATTATTTAATTGTTCAACACCATCAATTTTTGCAAGTAATTGATTCACTACTGTATCATGAACACCTGTAGCACCAGCAACACTTCCTCTTGCTTTACAGATAGCATCAATCTCATCAAAGATGATTATATGTAGTCCACTATTTGGTCCAAGCTAATAAAAATAGATTAAAATTATTTTTAAATCAATCAAAAGTAAATATTATATAAATTATAAATATACAAATTATTTTTTAAAAATTATCATATAATATAGAATTAGTACCCTTTTTTCTTCTTCTTCAGCATCAGCAAATAATCTTCTTATGTTTGCTTCACTTTCACCAACATATTTATCCAAAATTTGAGGTCCATTAACAATCTTTGGTTCTCTTGCATTTAACATATTTCCAATTTGTCTAGCCATAAGTGTTTTACCAGTGCCTGGTGGTCCATACAATAAAATACCTTTTACATGCTTACATCCAAGTTGTGTAACAACTTCTGGTGGAAAAACTCTTGAAGCAAATGCTCTTCTAAATATTGCACTGAATTCCTTATCTAAACCTCCAATTCCCATTTTATTGAAATCCCAATCAGGATTAATAATTGATTGACGAACAATCATTCCCTGCTTAGTTCCAGTAAGATTTAAACTGGAATTTGGAGCTTTTTCAAATTGAATTGCGGTATTACCAAGGCAACAACCCATTCTAGTTTTTTTTGGTTTAGCATCTTGACCAGCTTTAATAGCTTGAATATCAGCAGCTTCTAAACTTTTTACTATTAATCCTAACATTTTTTTATCTTGAAACTGAAATGCTAATTGTTGACTAACAGTAAATGCTTGTCCAGCAAACTGCATAAGGAAATCTTTAGCCATTAGTTCTGTATCATATGGTTCCAAAGTTGTTCTGTAAGTAATTGTTTTATCTTTGAATAAATAAAATAAAATTAATTCAACAGTTTTATGTTAAATTATCACATTTGTTCTATTTTACTCTTATTATTATAATGGCATAACTAAGATTTTTTTAAATTAATCGATACGTTATACAGTTCAAATTTTATAAAGTAAAATTTCAACTTTGAACTATATAAATTATGATTTCAATATCTACTTTAGAATTTAAGTAAATTATGTATAATCAAGATATTTAAATGATTATAATATTAAAAAATACTTACATTTTTTTTTGTAAAAAATCAGCTTCTAAAACTATGTTGGATAAAAATTCAGTAGGAGATGTGGGATCAAAATAAAATGGTTTAACTTCAATTTCTTGATTGAGAGATATAACTGCCCATTTTCTTTGAGGCAAGCTAAAACCAACTGTGCCTCGATCAATTTTAGGACATGTTTTGGTAGAAAATACAAAATGTTGATTTGGTTCAGTTGATATTTCAATATGACTATAAATAATATAAGAAAAGAGGTACAATTATTTTTATAACACATTCAATATTGATTATTTTATACTTTATAGTTATTTGATTGTCCTTTAAAAACATTTTATTTTGTGTTTAAAACTTAAATTATATGTGTATTTATAATATTTTAATGGTTAACTAAATTAATGATAATTGTTAAATATCATATTCAGCTGTAGATATATAATTTTATTCGATTCTCATTTTAAATTATATCAGGTATATGAAACAATTTTTTTAAGTATTCAAAATTTATTTTGTTAAGTTATAAGTCAATAAATTTCAATAGAAAATATTTAATTTAATATAATAATTTAATAACATAAAAGTGAAAGTGTAACAGACGATAGAAATTCTTACTTAACATCATCTGCAAAATCGGCAGTGTTAATAATGGCACAATTGGTAAGACAAAGCTCATCAGTTGTGCACTTTACTGCTCTCATTCGCTAAAAAAACACGAGAAAAAAATATTATTAATATCCGATCGATTTTCTATATTATTACATGTTAGCATGAAAAATATGAAGAGGCTAATCTTTAATATTTTAATATTGGTATAGTTAGATTTTTCTAATAAAAAGCTACTTTTTCTAAATACTTATCCCAAATATTCCAAAAAATAATTAATAATTCTAGATATTCAAAAATATATTAGATATATTTTTTTATAATACTAACCATTATTGACATATTTTGACAGCAGAATTCTCAAAAATGCAAATAAGTGATCACTGTCTAGTAGCCCCTGAATGATATGGAACCTGCAATGCAGGATAGTGTTATACCTGGTTATGTGTACTACACTCCTACCTACTGTACTGGACAACTTAGTTAATTTGGCCAATCTCAGCTAACTTTGTGAACTTATCGAGAATTTTACCTTCACCTGTGCGCAAATCTCTCATATTTTGAAGCTTTGCGCATAAAACTATTTTCAAGAATGTTACTGCGTTGTATAAATTAAAAATAATGACAATGAAATGATGGAAATTAAAAAAAGCTTTTTGAATATAGCAAACAATTCTTTAGATACAAAATTACAAATATTACTATACAATTAAACAATATAAATGTTTATATTAAATCTTAAAAATTTAATTTAAACATTGATCCTGTTTTACTACACTGTTTTTGCGTTGTTTTGTTCTATATATACAATTCAATCTTACTAAATTTAATTTAATCAAAACTAATTCAATCAAATTTAATCTGAAATATATACATTTCGTTTTATATGAATAAATATGTATGCACTAGACAGTGTATAGACAATGTATTTGATGACTAATCAAAATTAATACTTTTATTATAATAAAACTAACATAAAAAATAAGATGTGCTAATAAATTATAATAATTTTTTATTTTATACAATTACATACAACTCATATTTATATATTTTTTATCGTAAAAAATTATATACAAATTTTTCATTAACAGATTAGTCTATTGTTATATTATTACTAGACTATTCAAATATATTTATTTACCGACATATAGAGATATTTGTAAAAAAAAAGTTTCAATATTTTTTTGCGACGCTGTTCATCTATTTTTAAGTAAATATAATAATGGTTCTTTATAGATACTTTGGATAGCGATTGATTTATTCAATTTGTTTGATTGAAAATTTGATTACATTTTTATTTGACCTAGTTTTATAGGTAGGGAGTGGGAGTATAGTATGTGAGGAAAATCATGTTCAATATCCTATCGCTATCGCTTGAGGAATATACAAGATGAGATTCAACAATCTATTGGTAGTAACCACGCATTAAAAATAATTATGGCTTAACTGTAAAAGGCAAAGTTAAAATATATTACTGTATACGTATGTATTGTGACAATGCTCACACGGCTTCATTGATAAAAATTTCGATAGATAATACTACGATAAATCTGAAATCAGTTTTATTTTTGTAAGATATATGGTATTAATATTATCATGATTTATAGAAAGTTTCATTATGTGCAAATTTCAAAAATTAAGAACGAAAGTTCTATTTTGTGTTTGGTTGAATGGGCGTTATGGCATATAGTAAGTTTTTATTTAGGTTATAAATGTATTTCATCACGAGTGGCTGAATGCTGAATATCGGATTTATCTTCCGAAATTTTCCAAAACTAGCATTGTTTCTTTCTATTACATTGACTAAATTAAAAGTTATTTAGTTTTTTACATTACGAATTTAGTTGAATGGATTGCTGAAATTTTTTAATATATTACACTTTGTAAAGTATATTTTTACCGATTTTATTCAAACGTTATTTCTTAAATTAAAATAAATAATTATAATTAGTAGTTATTATACAAACTAAATTTGAAATTTTATATTATATATTATAATAATAATTTTTCAGTTTTAAATAATTATATGTGAGAGTTTCAATAAAGAACATAAAAAATGGATAGAACTAAAAGTGGAACTGGAAGAGGTTCAAAAAATAAAATCACTCCTCATCCATCTGATTTTATAGCTCTTGGATCTAAAAGTACTAGAGGAGATGTACCAGATACAAAACGACCTGGTGGTAGTCTTACTAAACCTGGTTCTAGCTCAGCAACTACAAGTAATATTTATGATTTATGAAATTAAATTAATGAATTAATTTTAATATTCAAAAACAAATAGTTCTTTTATTTTTATATATTTACAATTAGAAGTGTGAAATATAAAAGTAATATTAGTAAAATGTTAATTTAATTTATTTATATTGAAGTGATTTTATATCACAGGTAATGATCGAAAAAAAGAAGGATCATCTTTGCAGTCTTTGATTCCTCAAAAAAAACCTAAATTGACTACACATCCAGTAGCACCAACTAGGCCATCTGTTAGTTATACAGAAGTTTGGGAAGTTGTTGCAATAGATTGCGATCCAGCAGATCTTGTACCTATGGTTTTAGAGGCAAATGATAGTGATGATGGGGAAAAATTAATTGGTCTTGTTTGTGGTGCTATTAAGACATTAAAAAATTCTAGATGGAAGCCAGATTATGTTATTTGCATGGGACTTTTGTATTTAGTTAAAATTAGGCCATCGATATTCTCTCATCATTGTATATTACATGCTTTGGCTTCACTTCTAAAACGAGATCAAACTCATACTTTCAAAAACAAAGGCAATCCATTGGTACCAGTACTTGTAGCTAATTTATTGATGAGAGGATTTTGTGATAAAAAGGAATGGCCCGATGTTTTTATCAAGGTTCAATTTTAAATATTAAAATTCAAATAAAATTGAGATAATAAAAATGAGAATAAGTATCTACATATAAATTATTAAATTTTATAGATTTACATTGAAGATGCTTTAGGAGAGAGAATATGGGTTGATAATGATGAATGTAAAGGATTTGTAGATAATATCTTAACAGGATTTAATACAAGAATACCACCAAAAAGTGTTTTACAACCTGAATCAACTGTTGTGATACCAAGGGATTGCTCTAGTCCTTCGACTTTATTAGAAGATGAAGATTCTGGAACTTCATTGATTCAAATTACTGGTGATAAGGACAAAATTGATTTACCTGTTTGCCCTAGATATGTTCACTGCTTAGAAGTAGTAGAAAATATCATTCTGGAAATTGTTAAAGAACAGCTAAATCGAAGACAACCAGAGACAATAACGAGAAACTTTCTTAAATTATTATCCTCGGCATGTGGTTTTGTAGAAATAAGAAATATTGCTGTACCAAGGTTAGAAATGTGGTTACATAATCCAAAATTAATGCGATCAGCTCAAGAACTTCTTAGTTATATTTGTTACAATTGTACTTCTCATACACAACGGGATGTTGAAGTAATTAGTCAACTTGTTAAAATGAGATTAAAAACTAAAGCTGTAATAAATTTATATTTGAATGGTGTTAAAGAATTGATTGGGCTTCATTCAGAAAATTTATCTACAATTTTAAAACACACTATATACAATGAGTTATCTAATGCTAGAAATCCGAATAATATGCCCATGTTGGCAGTGATGTTTCAGACATCGCAGGAGCCATCTGCAAAATTATTGGCCGAAATATTTCAGGATTTGTTGATGAACCGGGAGGATTATTTGCGGCCTTTGCGGGCACTTTTACGAGAAATTGTACGAGTTTGTCGTCATGATATTAGTTTATCGATTTTAGCAAGGACATTAATGACAGCAAGAGCAGACATTGTTCAACAGCTTCCAGCTTTTGAATTTAAAGATAGAATGTTCACCTCCATTATAGATCTTTTGTGTTTATGTATGTTTTTAGCAATTAGTCCACAAATTAAAGAGGCTGCAGTGTTAACTCAACGTGGTGATAAAAAAGATGTTGGACTATTGCATCAGTTTCAAAATTTGGTAGCTATGATACAGTATGAGACTATTTCTTGGCTTCAAAGTTCAGCTCCTCAGATATATGGAATTGGAAAGCTTGAGTTACTTCATGCTTTACATAAAATTATGCTTTTGGAACCACCTGAACAGTATTACAAACCAGACAATTTTCCATCAGAGACTGACAGAACATTTTATATGAGATTGGTTTCTGAAGTGCCTCTGTTAGAAAGTACATTAATAAAGCTTATCGTAGTTGGATTTTCTAAGGTAAACCATTATTTATTACTGTTTTCCTGATAAATAATTTTATCAGGATAGTTTTACAAGCATTCGATGTGTATCTTATTTTCTATGGAAATATAAAATATTGATATCATTGCTATACAACACGTAAGCATGTGTCACACTCAAACAAATTTAAAACATATGTATTAGTTTGTCATTGAATTACTTGTATATATTATTATTATAGGAAAATGGAATTACTCATCCAGAAATGTTAGAACTTGCTGATCAACTGATTAGAAGAGCAGCAATGAGCTCATCAGAAATTTTTCCATTTCTACATGTTGAAAATATAGACATTATTGAACTTGTATTTAACTTATGTACATATCAGCCTCCACCTTCAA